CTAATTCACTGATCTGACCTTTAACCTTGACCATATCATTTAATATCAGATGAGTTAATACTTGTAATGTATTCTTTCTCACTTGAGCAGATTCATCTCTTAACCTTAAACAATAACATTATTTTGATACATTCAGATTTCTTTTACAACAGCATAGAGTCTATATCTACCTCATCAATTCAAGTACATGTTTCCATAGTTATGTGATAAACATGAACAACTTCTAAGATGAAATAAATTAATACCTACCTGCCATAAAGATGAGGTGTCCAAGGTTCTATTAGATTAGGGAATCTAAAACTAAGATCTCCCAGTGCTATAATAGTATTAGCTCTGATGGCGGGGTTAGGAGATTTCTCTAAGATGGTAAATAATAACTGTAGATGAGCATCGCAAAACTCAGAACTGAAATTTACAACAAGATATCGCATTTTTGTATCACCATAAAAGAAAGTCCACTGTACTCAAAACCTTCTCAAAATAATAAATCAAAGATGTTTGATCATGTCAACAAATAATGATAAAAGAATTCGGATTTAGAGATTTAATGGATCTAAAATGTGAGAAAGTCTTACCTAACCATAGTAAACTTAGCTAAAGCTAATGTAGCTGCAGTACGAAGTTGTGTGTCAGGGTATTTAGTTGAATCAGTACAAACAGCTACTATCAACGGATGTAACGTACTTAATAAATTCTCTCCTGCAAAAATAAACAGAACAATACAACATGGCTACTTTATTTATAATGACACTAAATCATTCTATTCAAATTAAATTGAGATTGGATCTGAATTCTACAGAAATTTACTTCATAAAACATTTTTTTTGAAAAGCTCAATTGGTGGCAAGTAAAAATGTTACCAAGTGCTTAGAGCTGTTGAATCTAATCCTTATAAGGCCGATGCCACAACTGATAACAACTGAAAATATTTGATTAAATACCTGTAACAATATCTGTTTCACAGATTCTACGTATATATTCAGCTTCAGCATCTTCAGCTGCAGCACCAGCTAGTCCTAGTTCATCTTCTATATTCTCTGTTTGATCATCCTATATATATATATATAAATATATATACATAATATACTATTGATAAGGAATTCAGAATGTTATTTGATTTTTCACCTTCAGAACATTTTAAATAGATTTAATCGATTAGATGTTTCACTTAAACAGGATCGAATTTGAAAAACTTTATTAATGATTTAAATTTTGATTCAATTTCATAAATATAGGGAAGAGAATAGTGTAGAATCCAGGTTGATCTGTCGCATAAATTAAATTTAACTCTGGCTTAATGGTAGTTAAATCACTTAGTCATAGAAAATATTGAGTTCAATACCTTAGGTTTAGGTGTAGTCACACCAGATATTCTTGTAGATTTTTTATTAGCTTGTTCTTTTTCTTTCTTTTCTTCTTGTATAGCTCTTCTTCTTTTCATTTCACCAAATACATTACTATCTAGATGTACTAAGTGGCGTAAAGCAACATGGCCACTCACTGACAATAAGCGAGTTAATACTAATGTTGAAACTGTTGATACTTTAGCTTCTGTCTCTAGAATAAAAAATAGATTGCTTTTCTTCTGTCATTGGGATATTAACAAGAACAGTGCATAAATTCATTGCTCAATGAACACTTAAATCTAGCTCTTTTTTTTAAATTATTTTATTTGATTCCACAAACCTTCCCACATGCCCTAATATCAAAGAAAACTGTCATAGTATATACCTTTGTGCGAAAAGAAACCTACCTTCAGTTTGAGAAGATGTACTAGGTTGATCAATATCAATCGACTGATAAGATTTCACTACCTCCTTAGCTATATTTTTAATTATTTCGCCAGCTATAATATCAGGCTGTTCACTCAGTTTATATATTACATTAATAGCTTGTTCAGCAAATGGTACCCAGACCTTTGTTTCTGTATTCCTTACAGCTGTAAATATAGACAGAGAAAAAACATTTAGTTAAATAAGAATTGATATACTACTACTACTTCTAATGCCATTCAAAGATTATATTCAGAATCTTGTTCAGTAATGAAGAAGTGGTTGAGAAATGTGACAAAAACAAACTGATTGGTTGTTTCATTTAACCCATTCTGCTGATGACAGTTTGGTTCTATTAAGATCAGGGATTATAAGTTATGTAAATATAAGAATCTCAGATACAAAAAGATTGGCTTGTGATCATGTTGAATTCGAAATAACCAGTCAAATAAACCATGATTGGTATTAAACATTATCTTGATTTTTTAAGTTATTCAAAACAGAAAATGGAACCATAACTTACAATGTACCAATAAAAATGAAAGTCTTTGGAACATTTCATGACTTTCTGAAAATTTGAATGGTTCTGCTGCTACTTCACCTTTAGTCTGAAAGAAGAATTAAGAATAGAAATACTTTATAAGCTATCCATGACCGCCATTACCATTTCATCAAAGATCTTTGATAAAATACATTCTTAGACATTGAAACAAATATTTTTTTTACAAGGATAACATCTTAGGTTAATGAAAATCCTGTCAAAACATCTGAGGCTATCTTTCTTAATAGCTTCAATTGCATTCAAGGTTCATGATGCTTCGGATTTAGAATGAAATAACGCTGAAAAGTATTGTGCTTCCTTCAACTATAAATATATAGAAAGGGTTCTTAATTTAATTAAAGAGAATTAAAGTCAGCTTACCTTTTTGCCAGCAGCTAGTTTGAGTAAAGTTCTACATGTTATTTGAGCTAATAACATATCAGTTTCAGCTCTCATACCCAATCCTTCATTAACTAATACATCTATATTACTCTTGACTATCTCAGGTTTAGCTCTGAAAATTACAGATTTATACATATAGACTTTTACAGTTTATCACAGAAAGTCACATATTAATACATATATACACAGAAAAATACACAGACACCGGCAAACCATAATCCAATAATAGAAATTGTATTGTTTTGCTAAGATATTTTTAGTTATTTTACCCATCTGAGTCTAAGTAGTTAACCTTATTCTTTAGGTAGGGTGAGTATTACTGTTTAAATAGTAGTTTGTTTAAATTCAATTTTTTATATTCTACCTAATATTGTGTAAACCTATTTTTCTCTATTTACATGGATAATCTCAAAGACATAAAATACGTACCCAGCTATCATAGACAGTAATAATAAAGCAGCTCTACTCTCCTCTATTGTAGTATTAGGTATTTTAGGTATAAATTTCTCCCACAAAACTTGTATAACAGTCTGTCCTATATCATCACTCTTTACAAATTGTTGTATCTATTATAATATAAAACATAGACAATAACATGTTTATATACTCACTTATACGTGCAATTGATGAAAAAAGACACTGTTAAAAAAAGTCACATAACTGCATTGAGACCTTGAGGAACTATTGCATTTTCAATGGTGGAGGAGCCAGGGTTGACTGTTAACAGGACTTACTGCCATACATTGGTGTTGCAATATATGTTCCACATCATATGGGCCTTTAATTTGAAGATCAAGTTTGAATTTGAATTCACCTCATTCTATCATTATATCATAACTTGAAAATACTATAGCTCCATCAATTTTTAATCAATTCAAATAAATAGGTTTAATGGCTAAGCAGAATCTTCCCATTTAACTATTAAATTTGTTATAAATAGTAGGGCTATATCGAGTTCAGTTAAAACTGAAGTAATGTAAGTTAAATCTACTTACCAAGGCATCAAAAGATGTTATATCACCTAAACTAGCACCTTGTAATAAAGCTGATAAATTCTTCACTATAGCCAGAGCTACAGTTCTAAAAACAAATATATGTAGAATGTTGAAGAGAATACCATCTAATATTTTTCCAGTTAAAGACTGGCTATTTGTGAAGCTATTCAACAATACTATATACCAGCCATATAACTTTGTTTCCTCATAGTTATGACCGGTCATCTGAATTTTGCGCATAAACATATCACATCAAAATGAAGACCCTCATGAAATGGCTATTTTTTGGCAAAAAAAGGTCAAAGGTCATTGGATTCAGGAAACTAATAAATTACATTATAAACTACATTTTATTTTTTAAAAGATAGCTTGCCAGGCAAGGTTAAATACGCCCACTGGCAGCTGTCAGAAATGATAAAAAAATCTTTTGTGGCTTAATAATGAATTTTCAAATACAGTAATCTTGAAATCATCTCGAGTCTATAAGTCAAGGCAAAAACCTGAAACAGTTCATCAAATTCAAACATTAACAATACCTCTGAAACTGTTCATCCGATTATGACCAATTACGAACTTGACTGAGATCCCATCAATATATACATGCATACCAAGTTTCATCAAGATCAGATAAAAACTGTAGTCTCTATTGCGCCGACAAGCCAAATTTGACCCTTTTTTTGTAAGTCAAGGGCAATAACTCAGACACAATTCATCCAATTTATTACCAAGTTCGAGCTTGACCAAGATCTCATCAATATATACATGCATACCAAGTTACATCAAGATCAGAAAAAACTGTAGCTTACAAGAAATGTGAACGGACAGACGGACCTACAAACAGGGGCAACGGCAATATGTGTATAAAAAGGCTTACGTCTCCTTTACACGAATCATGAAGAAAAATACTTTCAGCAAAATTTTGACAAACCTTTGATTACCACCAGCATTTGGATTTAAATACAATCTTTTGTAGGCATTTACTACTGATTCTTTTATTGTTTCTTCACTAGACCATATCAATACCAACATTCTTCTTATCCCCAGCATAGTGGCTGTTACACCAAACTCAAATCCTGTGACAAAAAACTCAATAGCTTCAAATACATCACTGGTAGTTTTAGACCCCAGCAGCTGACAAATGATAGGTACAGCTTGTTGTATATGATCAGCAAATGTTGTTGAATCCTGGAATGAAAAGACCAAAACTATTTTGAGAATCTTTGTGAAAGTGAAAAACTTAGTATTTACAATGTCTATTGAATAACATGTTTAAACTATAAGTAAAAACAAACCCTAGCAATTGTTTATCAAGAATAACTATGATCAGGAAACTCCGAACCCATACCAAATTTATATATGCCTTGCAACCCTATGTCATCCGAAATACAATGCAAACACATTTCAATAAATAATTTCATAAATTTTTGGCACTTTCAAAAAAATATACTAGCATAAAAATGTAGCTTTAATTTTAATAAATTTATGAGTACAATATATGAATAAAGGTATATTTACCTTTAAATATTGTACTAGTACTTGTTGTTTGGTGATATCATTTAGAACTGATGTATCTGGTTGACTGGCAGGATCAGATGATAATACTTCTGATTTCTTTTGTACCAAATATATATCTTTTAAACAACTTATTATTCCTTCATTTTCTATCTCAAGTTCTCTTTCACTCTCTTCTTCTAACTCTTCTTCACTGTTCAGATCTTTTTCTCTGAACACCATAATTAAAATTTTATATAAACATAGCCTTTAAAGCATGGAATAGTTTCCTTATCACAGATTTCTTTATATGAGATTAGCAGTTATAGGCTAGAGTACTAGATCGTGTTGAGTAATTTGCCAAATTCTCATTCTTATATTTTTTCAACTTGTGAATTAATATGAGTATTAAAACAAGTGTAATAGAATCCAGAATATAAACTACAGATATAAAACAGAGAAGATTATGTTAACCTGACTAGCTCAGTGAAATAAAGGATGGTAATATAATATCTGTTGTACAGGTTCTGGCAAAGATAAGTTCAATAAAAAGAGACCCATCTTATCAAGACCAATAAAATCAATCTTAAGCTTACTCTTCTGATACATGCTGTTTAAACTGAAATACCATTTCATCTGACCATCTTGTATGAGCTGTTTTTAATGATTGTATACAAGTAGAATACACTTCATCTGTTAATTCTTTATAGATCTTTTCTAACATCCTACAACCAATATTTTAATTTTATTTCATTCACATAAAAGCTAACATTATTTTTCCTGTGAATCAGATACAAATTATTCAATAAAGCATGACTTTCATTGTTGTCGATAAAGCATGACGTTCATTGTTGTCGGTAGTTTGCCTACTTACACAAAGAAATCACAAGAAAATGTCTATGTTCAGCAGAATTTGTTTGGATTTGTCTTCAAAATAAAGTTTTACACTTACTTCTCTGCATTGAGTTCCTCTTGAGTGTTTTCAGTACATGTAGATGGTTCCTCTTCTGGTGTCTCTGCTTCATCTTCATCATGGTTAAAAACATGGTCTCTTAATTTCTTCTCTACTGCCTCCCAACATTCTTCTAGATCTTTCATTACAGCTAGAATATAATAGTAGGCCTATATTAAATATGACATTTCAACTCTGTATGACTAGACTAGTTTGTCTTCAATGATATAATAATATCAATATTAGTATGGCCGAGCAGGTTTTATCCATTAATCAAAGAGAAAGGAATGATATAATCCTTTTTTAAATCTAACATTGGTTGTGGAGCCAAAACTGTAGAATTTCTACATTCATCCGCAACACTTACAGTGAGGTTGATAGAAACGTGGATTACCTATATAAGATGTTATCTATATTAATAACAAATATTTACCACTAATATCGGTTTCTTCTGGAGTCATTTCTTTCAATTTTTCTTTTTCTTTTTCATAACTAGCCTGTAATTCTTCTACTGGCAACTACATCAATTATACAAATAAATAAAAGTTGTTTTTTTTTTTTTTTTGCTTTTTAAAGGCATGTACATCATTAGCATAGACTTACCCCAGTTTAAATTTTGGAGTAACCATAGCCAGGCATTTAGAACTAAACTTTACACAGTCCAAAAGATTATCAATTACAATCTATTACTGACAATGTCAAATCAGGTCTCTTGATACAGGTCATTTTAATTAAATATGTAAATATAATATACTGACCTTTGAAGCAAAAGGATTGTTTTTCATCAAGGCAATCATCAACTGGATAGCATACTTTCTCACTTGTGATGATTTATCTTGTAACCTTCCTAATATTAGATTTACTAAATTTTCTTGTCTTGGAAGAGGTAAACACTGAAAGCATTTCAGGATCAAAAATAAAATTGCTAAAATTGTAATGAACCCATTTGACTACCTTCCTACAAATTTGCAACTTCCCTGGGATCTTTGACATTGCATTTTGACTATACAAAGCTCGTATAAATAAACAAAGGAAAATTTTCGCGATACCATCAACATCTGAGATACGATCTCAAAATCTACTTCCAGGTAAGGTAAGCGATCAAAGTCTAATTAGTTGATCCAGAAAATTGTGGAATAGTAAATAAAATGTATGCGGCTACTCGACAATGATAAAGGTTTATTAATCACTCTACCTTTTCATTCACTATATGTAGCCATATCTGTAATACACGACTTCTAACAAAGGCATTCACATCGTGAATATGATCCTAGATAAAAAGAAAGGAACATTTTTTATGATTTCAGATATAAGCTACCAATCAATTCTAATACAGTTTTCGTCCAATGAAAAAGAGGCATTGCTTTTTGTTTGAATGAAGTTTTAAAAAACACTTTTTGCATCTAATAATGGCCATGATCAAAGAGTTGAATTTTACCTCTAATTTATCAAGAAAACATTCTCTAGTTGATTTTAACTTGTCTTCTAAATTCTCTTGACTTAACACTTTTACTAGCATTTCACCAATAACACTTAATACACCATTTCTTAATGTATAGGACTAAAATAAAATAATAACAATAACATCTTTCATATAGTTTTAATATCAATTCTTATTTAATAAAAAATAGCATTTATTTCTTTGATTTAAAACTCACACATCAAATAGCTTAAAGTCTGAGTTGGGAGCGCTTAAAGATCAACATTTTAACATCATGTAACAGTATTTATATTTGTGGTACTATAAGAACTAAAACCATACCTCTCCATCTAAATGCCCTATCAATACACTGATAGTAGGTAACATGGCCGCTGGTAGTTGATGTGATAATTCCACTAGAAACTGAGCTAAAATTCTGGTACCAGATGTATCTTTAGCAATGTCTCTTGAATCTAATCTACCTATTTCTCTGCAAAATTGTTCAACTTTGTTAAAACAGTTACAAGTTTTAATTGAAGTGTGTCAAAAGTGCTGTTAAGTGCCTAATATCCTTACTAATAATTTGCACATTTAATTTTTACAAAACTTCCTACATATAAATACTTAAACAGAACCTGAAACATGTTACCTATCCAGAAAAAAAAATGCCAAGAGGTTTGTTCAATGAATGAATAGAGTTTTACATCCTACTTTTTGGAAGAGGTTTGTTCAGGAACCAACTGGTACAAAGGATCCTTAACTGTAAACCTTGTTATCCTTGTAAAATATACTTATTTCTTTCTTTTCAGAGTTTCATGTTTCTATATTTACCTCATTAGTTCACTGATAATACTCTTATCTTGATATTGATTAACAAAAATCTCCAGTATCTGTACTATTGGTACTACTAAATGTTCAAAATGTTGTAATAACTGCATAATCTTCAAACTGGCACCTTAAAATATCATTATTAAAATATTGTATAGTAGATGACAGCTCTCATGGCAAGATAACATAGGCACACTGACAGCGTTCTTTAAATTAGAACATTTGACAAGATATCAATCATCACCAGTATGACATATTCTACCTCTAGAGGTTTTAATAATGACCACACAGGAAATGAAACAATAATAACAGAAGTTTTTTTTGCAAAGAACAAACTATCAAAAATCTCGTATCATAAAGTATTATGCAAGTCAAAGATGAATTATTAATTATTGTTTGAAATTGGAAGTTCCAGTCACTTTGCAGCTTGAATAAGAGTTACAGCAGCAGAAATAAACCATTAAGTCTGATATTACTTTAGAAAAAGAAATCAGATCTGGTTAGGAATAATAAGATTTAAACAGATCAAAAGCTGAAACTGTAAACTCACCTAAACTATGGTTATATTTCTTGATTAAAACTCCTAATAATTGTGATATTACATCTCTAATATCTTTAGTTCTAACAATAGCTGGATTCTCTAATAGTCTATAGCAACAGTTACTTACTAGACTGAAAATACATTTATAAAAAAAGGTATAAAAACAAATGAAATACTTTTTCAACAGTCTTCCTCTCTTCAGTTATAGTTGTTGTTAATCGTTAGACAATTAGGTTCCGTGGTTTGAATCCTCCTCAGGGTAACAAAAATGAAGCAGTAACTAAATAAGATATAATGGATTGAACTAAACATTTCTTAATTTGTATTTAACATACTTCACAAACTCTTCTTCTGCTATTGGTGGATCCCATAATCTATTAAGATTAGGTTGTATAATATTGAGTAAGGTTTGTACACCACGCTTCTTTTCTTTCTCCCAGTCTCTACCAGATTTATTGACAGTTGTCTTTTTACTCTTTCCTCGACCCTACAATCATAACATTACATATCAATATCATGACTAATCCTTTCTTTGACTATGACACTTTCACCAGAGATAACTATATTGTTTCGATCAAGGCTCCAATTTTGCTAATCCAATATCTACTTTAGCCTTCTTTAATTCACATGGCATTAGTTTATTCAAAACAGGAAATAAACATTAAAGAAAATATGAATTTACCTTGCCAACGTTAATTTGTATACCAGGTTTAGTATCTTCAACCTCAAACATGTCTATAAACTGACAGATGAGATAACAGGTCATTTTTAAAGTATTTAATAACTGTAATTTGAAGTCTGGTGTTAATTCTGGATCTTCTAAACCATGAGCTATTTCATTTGTAACACATTGTCCAACTACAAAATCAATGGCAACATTCACTTATGATTGGAACACGCATTGTAACAATTTGTATGTTCACCCTCGGCCACTCATTGGAATTCTGCTCATAATTCTCTTCTAATTCATTAAAAACACTTTTACTTTCTATTCATATAAGTATTAGCATTTTCATTTTCATAAAAGTAAATAAGGGAACCCAACTTTAATATTACCTTGAAGAAGAATATCCCACATTTCTTCTTTAATAGCATCTTCAAAATCTTTTTGTAGACTATAAAAAAATAGTATATAGTATTACAGGTATAATAACATCATACCAAATACAGGTTAATAATTATATAGGCGAAAATTTAAAGACTGAAACATGTTCACAAGAATTGTTTTATATGATATTGTTAATTCAAAACACTTCAAGAACTTTAAACATATTTATATAGGTCAAAATTTTATTTACAGCAGTTACCCTAATAAGGGCTTGTCTAACTGGAGATGTGCATTATAGACAGTGACAAATTATTTTATGATCTTTAAAACATAGTAATTGATCAAACAAATTGAAAACAAACAATAATAAATGCAATGAAACATGTGATTCTATTATATATGATTTAATCTTATTCCAATTTATTTATTGTACCAGTACTGTGCATTTGAAAACTACTAAAATACAAAACAGTAAGAAATAAAGAAGTAGATCACAACTTACGACAGGAGGCTATAAGCAGTATCAAAGTGGTTCAAAACAGCAAAATTATCATTTCTCACAGCAAATTTAAAATCTGAAATAATAATTAAATGATATGAGCACAAGTCAAAGAAGTCATAAAACAAGGATTACTCTAACAATCACTTCACAATATTAACAAATGTTTTTTGGAGAATTCAGGTAAAATTTTTCAATACTGTACACTGTTTAAATAAGCTTACTACGTTAAATTTTGTAATTTGAAGTGACATCAATAATATATAATTAACAAAGAAAGAAGAACAGGGAACTTAACTCTCGGACACCCTCAGCTTTAAATCAGGTTGAACTCTTCAGGGACAACTAAGCAAGAGTGAATTTTTAACCTCTATTTATGCTACAATAATGCGGAGGCACCTACTTGTACCTCAGCTTACCGTGACCATGGTCAGATTACTACCCAGAATCCTACACTTTATTAATGTATAATTGTATATTGACAACAGATATGCTTTTATATCCTTGTAAAACCAGGTAAGAAGGATCCTAATGTAAGATTCAAAAGTTATGTTAAAGAGTGGTCAAGGATATACCCACAGACTACATTACCTAGTATGCTATCTTTAATTTCATAATAGTATTTGCATCTTGTACTCTTTACACTTCATTGACAAAACATTTCCTTATATTTCTTTTACAAAACATCAAAAGCTTATGGCTATATTTACCTTGTACAGCTCCTGGTATAATTCTTAATGGTAAAACTTCTTCAACAACATACTGACTGACATTAGTTTTACTTAATAAACAATCTAAATTGATTGGTATAGTAAACTCAAAACTCATTTTGCTAAATCTCTTTTATTTCAGCTTCAAGCTTAAGCCTAAAAAGAAAGGAAAAAGTTTAAACTATTGACAGAACAGTCTAGAAATTGTAACAAATCGTATAATAGCTTATGTTGTGAAAATAATGATAGTTTGTTGTTTGATGATCTTAAATAAAGTTAAAAGTTAAATCATAAAATCATAACATTGGTTTATCAAATTGCTTTAAGTGTGATCAGTCGGATATAAGCTTATGTACATATTATTAGGTTAGGTTTTTGTTGTGAAGATGATCATTGGGCTAACTTGGACCAAAACACACTCTGATCACTTTTTAAAAACAAACTCAGTCCACTGATGCAGTGATGGGCATTTGATCATTGTCATTGAATTGGTGATAATTCGGATTTTAATTATTCATTCAACTAGCCTAATCCAGCCAATTAATCCACTCGTTCTGATATTCATACACACTTGTAAGAACTTCCTTGAGTGGCATTTAGTAATTGATGATATTAACACGAACACAATTATATGGATAACAATTACTTTAATAAATAACTTGCGACGTTTCGACGATGATTCTTTCGTCTTTATCAGGCAATGAGAAATGAGAGAATGTATTTACCCAGAAAATTTTGTGTATTTAAATTAGGCCAGACAGTTTTAAAAAATTGCGCTCATATCCACCATTGATCTGTGTCTTAGCCAATGAAATTGTAGGTTGGTCGGTGCCTCTGAAATAAAATGTTCCAATTTATCTTCAAAATATCAGTTCTCGGCCCTAGAACAAACCGGTTGTATTTACTGTCAAATTTTAATTTTTCAGATTTTTTAGGTGATGCCAATATTCATTTATTACTTTTTTTTTATCCAATAGACATTTCTATATTTTGTAACATCTTCCTTGCGACGCCATATTTGTTTTTTAACAGACGATTTATTTTAGAAATGTTGTGTTTTTATAAGAAATGTTGCTTAAATTATATATTTATTTCATAATTTTAATAGTATTTTTATCTTGTTGGATATGCATCAGCTTTTATACTGCTTTACTTTTATCTGTGACATTTCTTTTAGTTTTAGAGGTCCATGATCGATTCGTTCCGCTCGACGGCACTCATGCTGCGCATTATGGGAATGACTGGGGCGCTACATTCAATAACACACTGTTGAGACGGAAAACCGTAAAGACAAAAATGTTCAAGAATTGGAATCCTTTCAGGAAAAAGTCGGAATTGAGTGGGAGAAAAGACCACCCTCACTGTATAAAACAAGAATCAAAGCCTTCAAATAAAGAAAACAATCAACAACAACAGACCTCGTTTACTGGTCGATCGTCACAATTTTCAAATAAATCGTTTACAGAAAAACATCCTCTTTCTGGTAGTTCTAACCCTCGACCCATAACTTTGGCTAGAAGAGGATCTTTGAAAATAACAAGGGTAAAACCTGAAGAAAGCTTTTTAAATAAATCAACTTTTAATAATTCCAGTTTTAAAAGTGAAAGGAACTCAAATGATGTTTCGATCTTTAATGCTTCTGGGCCACTACTTGGATCACCATTTATTCCTCAAGTGAAACAAGCGTTGGGATTCAATGATACTTTAAGGTAGGATACCATGATATAATCATCTAACTTTGATTCTTGATTTCAATTTCATTTCTTTTCTTGATATTGTCTGTCTGCATTTTAATCTAACAAGTTTTCTACCACACATGTTGGCGTAATATTTAAACAATCAAATCATATCTTCTTGGACTTGATTCTCAATACTAGTACGCCTATAGCAATACCTATTTGACAACATAGAGCTGTATACCACATAGTATAAGCTTAAGCTTACAGTTCCACGATGATAGCCTCTTTGGGTTTCGCTATCTTACAATGCCTCTTTGTTATCAAGAAACAGGTTTCAATGAATGAAAATTGAAGTCTTAACTTTGAATAGATTGACAAAATATAGACTTTGCATCAGATTTATGAAAATGCACATTTATTACAATGATGTGAGTAAACGTACACATGTAAGAACTGTATACTTGGAGCTCTTTAAAAACCAGTGGGTGTTAAGAGTAAAAACAAATCTAATTAAAATTGCATTTACAAGTAATTTTCTGTAATAAATTTTATTGATCAAGCCTATTATTGTTTATTTCAGTCCATTTGGAAGTCCAAGTGCAAATCGATCCCGCATAAAACGATCAAATACTTTTCATTATGCTCCTACACATCCAACATCATCAAGCCTAGGATCATTACCAGTAGTACGTTTAGGACGTAAAGATAAACATGCTGTTGTTGATGGGAGTTTATTAAACAGTCCAAATACTGTTAAAATTGCTCCACCAGATGTGCAAAGATTTCCAACATGTAGACTTACATCAATTAAAGAAAGATCATCCTCGATTGGCTCTCATTCTCAAGCACCAGATACACAAGCTATAGTTAGTGCCTTAAGGGAAGGAAGGTGAGTTAAATGGTGTTTAAGTTTGAGTTGTTTAAGGTAAGCACTTGCCATAAGATTGTGTCGGCAGCTACATTTTCGGAAATCATCATTACAATTATAATTAATGAAGAGATTTTTGTGTAGGCCTCCACGTTAAGTGTTGAAAGAAAGAAAAATATTAAATATCAACATTTTATGCTTTGATTTGCTCTTTACAGAAAACGATCGTTTGTACACCAAGAAGAATCTGTGTTTGATGATATTGATGTCAATCAAAAATCAAAGAGAAGGTAAGGCAATAATCATAATCAGCATATAGTTCTAGGACCAGAAAAGAAATTTAAATTGACATTTGAAAGCAATAATTGTCTTATCTGTGTGTATTTGCTGAAAGATATTTATGTTAAGGAATACTTCAGACACCATGCCAAAGTTTTAAAATGTTGTACCAGTACCTCTTTACGTTTTCTGTTGATTTTCATGAGACTCAAGTTTCTTTTCATGTGCCGAAGTCGGTGCTCTGGCAAGGTCTTCTATCTTAGCTTTTCTGATTTCAATTGAGACATTTCATGAACTGTAACGATGGCTCATTCCTTGTCTATTGTAGGAGACAAGAAAGTAATCAATCAACAGCATCTTCTGCCTCAATACCACCCATGCCTGACAATTTCCCAGACTTAGCTCAATCTGGATATACTTTAACCCCCATAGATAGTGGTGGTGTCAAACGTCCAGCTGCACCTAGTCAAGAACCATTAGATGTCCATGAAATATCTCTTGCTAAAAGACCAAAGAAAGACAACAGAAATGATCCAATCAAGAGTTCTTTACGATCTAGTAAAATCTCAATGTTAAAAGAGGTATTTATTTGTAAAGTCTGTTGTGTGTTTTGCGGTTCAGATCGTTAATTTATGGTTATTTTTCAATTTTAATTGTTAGTATTCTAAAAAGTGAAATGATTTGGTACTTTATTGATATTCTTATATATATATATATAGCTAAACCAAAGTTAAGATATTTACTTAGATTTGTGGAAAGCTTCACTATTTTTTGTCGATATTAGATGTATGGAATACTCATTCTAACTGCTTATGATGTTTTTATCAGACAACAGGAAAGTTACCGACTAGAAGACACAGTATATGTTATCCAACCAGACAAAATGAAAGTAAAATGGAGGAAATGAATGATATTAATGAAGAGGATAATAATAGAGGAAATACTAGTCCAACATCATCAGACGTCAGTATGAGATATTTACGAAATCAACCAACTATTCTGCTTTCTAGGTATTTGTAAAAACTTATTTGAGTTTTCAAGTCCATGTGTGTTCAGAATATTCCGCACTTGAAAGACTCAAATCAACCTCCTATGGCGCATCTGTCGCTGTAATCTCTTATATATATGTTGGTTTGCCCGTTCACGTTTACTTATAAATGTACTTACCAATATAATTATAATCCTCTTTGTATATCTTACGGTACAAAAAATTATATTATTGATATCATGTCTCTTAAAAGTTTTGATGTAAATAATGTTAATGTTATATAAGGGGTTATTGAAATGTTGTGAATGTGAGGTCAATAACAATTGAATTATTTCAGTTTAAAAACAAATGAAGAACTAAGAAAAAGTAATGATGACTTATTTAGTGGTAGTAATAATGATGCCAGTAGCGCTGAAAACAGTATGAATACAAGTGTAAGTATTACATTTGTTTATGTTTATTTTATATGCCCAATGTATTATGTAGTTGATATGACTGTCCACACACAAAGTTTCAAGTTCAGAATGGCTGTAAACAGCAACGTGATTAAACATGCAGCTTGTTATGGGTTATGATTGTTTGAAAAAGCTATGGGCTTTAAGGGTCCCTCTCTTTAATTTCAGTTGAATTCATCAACAAGTAAAAGGCTGTTATTTGATGGAATTAAAAAATCTACTAAGAAAAGACTCTCACTTTATCCAAGTTTAAATACCAGCTTTAAAAAGGTAAACATTGGCAGGTTTTTTTATGCACCCACACATTTATTCTGTCATGGGATTTGTCTGTTCGTAATCACTCATGGATGAACCCTATTGAAAATCAGATGAATCGAAAATTATTTAATGAGTTGATAAAAATATAATTTTTTGTAAGTTGACTTTGAAAAGAAACTCATTTTGAAGACATAACGTGTGCTTATGTTTATATTTTTATCAAAGCAAAAGCTTTTTAGACTAACAGTACTATTTTGAGTCTGCTATTCAAATTCTCATAAAATAGTAGAAAAATTCAAAAAACTTCTTATTTTGCTCAGACAATAATAGCAGAGTTAAAAACTTTGATATAATAGTGCTTTCAATTCAAGTATAGACAGATTGAGATTAATTAGAGCCATAGGTCAATAAAGTAACAGAAAGTATTATTTCTATCATTATTATTTGCTCTTAGCCCTGAATAGATTTGGTACAATATACACCAGATTTATTATTAAGAATTATGTTAAGATTTATGTTTGAATTCAGTCGTGTACTATTAATCAGTATTATTTCATAGGAATTCAATTTAATTTAGGTACCAGTGTCAAATGTGGTGGCTAGTGCTGAAGATTATGAGAAGGATCGTGAAGATGAACAGAAAAGAGTTACTGAAATGCTGAAAGAAATCACAGAAGAACATGAAAATAAGAACAAAAAAGGTAAATTTCTATTTTATCTTATTATTGCAAATTGAAATCTATAATAAATTTATTCTTTGTGTGTTTCAAACTAAATGTTTTCTGTGTCAATATTTTTTATCTAAATTTATTTGATTATGTTTTTTATTTCAGAAGAGAAGTTAAGTGCTACTAAGACATCAACAACTTTACCTCCAACTACAAGTTCTACAGCCACAACAGCTACCATAAGTTTTGGTACTACAAAGCTGCCAGAAGCTTCAAAACCACAAACTACACTAGTAGTCTCTACTGCTGTTACATCTTTGACAGCTAACCCAGTCACTACTACTTCATCCATAGGCAAAACTTTAGAATCAGGAATGCCAAGTTCTTCTTTAGGCCTATCTGCTTTGACTTCAGTAACTAGTCTAGTTAGTACAGCATCAAGTACAGCTGCCACCCCTTCAAATTATACATTTAAACCTGTATTTGGGGCTGCATCCACTGCCACGACTGCTACAACATCTGTAGTCTCATCAACCACTACAACCTCAACACCAACAGGATTCTCAATAGCTTCAGGAGTACTTGGTGCAAGTTCTTTTAAGCTGGGTTCAGGATTCGATGTACCTGTACCAAAAACCTCAAATGTTTTGCCTGGAATTACAACGTCATTATTGACAAGTACATCATCACTTAATGGAGGTTTTAAAACATCTAGTACTACAGCAGCATTTCCCAGCATGAAACCAATTTCAAACACCACCAACCCAAGTAAAAATGGTGGTGGATTCACATTTGGAAACACTTCCTCTGGTAAAGAACAAACACCATCTTTTGCTTTTGGTCATACATCTCAAGCTGTAACTTCAACTCATCAATCAACAGCTGCAAGTGTGACTAATTTTGGACAAAGAGCACAAGCAACTCAAATAAATAGTAACACTGGTCCATCAGTTTTACAGTCAAACTTCAGTTTTGGCCAAAATCAAGCTTCAACAGGTGGGTTTGGATTTGGTGGAGCTACAGCCTTGTCAGCTCTTTCTGCCCTTTCTGGACTTTCATCAGCTCCCCAAGCAACACCTACAACTAACCCTCCACCATATTCCCTGAACGCAGGGGGCCAATTGTCTGGTATAACAAGTGGCATGCCTAAGCCTACTTTTAATTTTGGAAATATTGCACAAACAACAAGCTCTGCATCATCAACATTTGGATCATCAAGCACTAATGAATCAGGAAGTGATTTTGGTGTTAATACATCTGCTTCTACTACTGGAGGGGCTTTTCAATTTGGAGCTCCTATGACTCCTTCCACACCAGCAGCACCACCATCAAATATTAATGCTAAACCTAGTTTTGGTACTTCATCTACTAGTGGTTTTGCATTTGGTCAGAATAAACCACCAACTACCACTGTACAAAATGCAACTGGTTTCTCATTTGGTGGAGGTCAGTTAGCTACTGCTAGTAATAGCACATCATTTGGAACAACTGTATCATCAAAACCTTTTACATTTGGATCTGCACAGCCAGCACCTGGTGGATTTAGCTCATCAAACCCACCCCCAGCCTTTGGATCCACAAACACATCTGCTTCATTTGGAAATAATCAAAGTGTACAAGCTAGTCCGTTTGGAACAGGAAACAATAAAACAGCAACAGGTTTTGGAGGGACAAGTGGCAATACTTTTGGGTCAACACAACCAGCATTTGGCAATTCTCAACAAAACAGTTCAACGTCAGTGTTTGGACAAAGTTCATCTACAACTGCATTTGGAAATAATACACCACAATCCACACCTTCTTTTGGTCAGAGTGGATCCATCTTTGGTACATCAAATCAGAATACTTCATCATTTGGACAGCCAAATTGTACAGTACAATCTTCTAATGCCTCTGTAGCTCCAATTGCCTCTTTCCAGTTTGGGCAAACAACTCGAGCTAAACCAAACATCCCAGCACCAACATTTGGTCAATCTAACACCAGTCAGAATAGTGGCTTTAACTTTGCTGCTCCTGGAAGTAATCCTTCTTTTAACTTTGGTAAGAATTGATTTTCATGTTATCAGATGGCAATTAATGAAATTACTGGTTGGATGTACCTAGGCTTTAATTTCCTTTTGGAACCTATTTTTTCATTTTTACAAGGCAAAATTAGTACAAATATCTCTTACATGATGTGTTATTATCCTGAAAGTTGATTAAATTGTTTTGATATTGTTATTTATCCTTAATTTCAGGTGGTTCGTCAACTCCTGGTACTGGTCCTGCCCCAGCTGGAGCTTTTGGTACACCTACTACTCCAACAAATCTCTTTACTCCTGGATCTGTTAATAGTGCAAGAGTTCCTTCGTCTAGACCTAGACGAAGTCGAACACGAAGATGAACATAAAACATAATTAGTGTTCTAGCTTTAAGTGCCTCTGGATGGATTTTTGCAGATTGATTGAGAAAGTGTTCATTTATTTTGATGTATCCTGGATCTTGAAATATAGATGAGGCTGATCAAGGATCTTCCTTAGAGGGTTGTCATTAGGCAAGATATACAACACATTACTGATTAGTGGATGAGCTTGAATATATATGTAACCCACATTGTGTTTATTTTGTGTCACTTGTCTTGGGGATAGAGATAATTCTCTCTGATATAACAAGATTGCGATTGGTAAATACAGAGAAAAAGCTATGATATGATCTGGAATAAAAGCCAAAACTGTTGCATTAAGGTTTGTAATTAGTGCTAATTTGCTATTTATTGTTATAAAAAATTTGAAGAGATAAAATCATGTCTGAGAATATTTTATTATGATGTATGCTTAAGATTTTCTATGTAATTGAATTGACATATATCTGTAAATGATTTTGTGTGTGTGATATTTGAAATATCAAACAGAAACCTAATATAGGCTTGTTATATACTTAAAGGTTAGAAACATGACAGGGATAAGAGGTTGATAAAAGGTCCTGTAACTGCTCTTATCATTGTTCAACTGTAATTGATGACATCCCAGTTGAGAATAGGTTGATGAATACTGAATTTGAATTAAAAGTATCTTCATGGGAAAATATTGTATGATGTTGTATGTAAAATATCGTATTATTGTAAATTTGATACTGGATTGTACAATAAATAACTTAAATGAATTGACTGAGAAATCTCTTATGATAAACGAACCTGATAGATTTGGTATGGTTTTGAAAAAAATTCATACGCCCATAATGAAGTATTCCTCGTCCACAATCGATCATTAACTAAATCATTAACTTTTATTCGATCATGATGAAACTTCGTATGCATGTATATATTGATGAGATCTCGGTCAAGTTCGAAACTGGTAATAATCAGATGAACAGTTTCAGAGTTATTGCCTTTGACTTAGTAAACACTCATCAAATTTGACTTGTAGGCATGATAGAGACTACAATTTTTATCCGATCTTGATGAAACTTTATATGCATCTATATATTGATGAGATGTTGGTCAAGTGCGGAATTGGTAATAATCGGATGAACGGTTTCAGAGTTATTGCCTTTGACTTAGTAAAAACGAAATTTCTATTGTAGGCACGATAGAAACTACAGTTTTTATCGGATCTTGATGGAACTTGGTATGCATGTTTATATTGATGAGATCTCACTCGATCCTAATTGATAACAATCGGATGAAGGGTTATTATTATTATTATTATTATTATTAAGACACTAATAGAGCGCCATCTTTCACAATATGTGCTCAGATGCGCTGTACAATACAATTCATAAAGTATCAACATATTGGTAAAATTGGCAAATAAGTATAAAAATATAAATGAATAAACGTAAAAAATATGTATAAATATAAGGAATAAAACAATCTATAAATTAAAAGCTTTCTTAAATAAGAACATCTTGAGAAGAGACTTAAAAGTTACTAAAGAAGTGCAGCATCTAATGTTAAAAGGTAAAACATTCCAAAGTTTAGGGGCCTGGATGGTAAAAGAGCGCTCACCGATAGTTAAAAGTCTGGCTGATTTATGTACAAGTAAAAAGTTATCAGATGATGAGCGGAGAGTGCGGCTTGGTGTATACATTTCTAATAGTGAAGATAAATAGTGAGGTGCAATATCGTTTATACATTTAAAAGTTAAAAGGACGATCTTGAATTGGATTCTAAAAATAATAGGTAGCCAGTGAAGGTCAATTAAAATTGGTGTAATGTGGTCGTGATATTTTTTGCCAGTGATGAGTCGTGCTGCTGCATTTTGAACTTTCTGTAGCTTGTTGGTTATGCGCAGAGGGGTACCGATTAATAATGAATTACAGTTGTCTAAACGGGAGGTGATCAATGCTTGTACTAGAGTTTTAACAGAGGAAGAGGGAATATTTTTACGGATTTTACTAATGTTACAGAGATTAAAATAGCACAATTTACACACATTATTTACATGAGGTTCCAAGGTTAAATGCTGATCGAAAATAACTCCAATATTTCTAGCTGACGTGACAGGGGATATTACATGACTTCCTATTGATAAAGATACATTTTCATTAACTTTTGATACAGTAGAATGTATTCAGTTTTATCATCATTTAATTTAAGGAAATTATTGTTCATCCATACACGGATATCTTCTATACAGCATTCAATCTTGGATTTACAAATGTTAAAACTATTATTTACAGAGGGTTTAAAAGATAAATATAACTGTGTGTCGTCTGCGTATAAATGAAAATCGAGACCATGTCTGTGAACTATATTAGATAGTGGAGTGGTGTACATACTAAATAAAATCGGTCCCAATACTGACCCCTGTGGCACACCATATTTCAAACATTTTGCAGAGGAGGATTTATTGTTTACAATAACAGACTGTGAACGATTCGTTAAATATGATTTCAATAAATCTAAGGCTGAACCATTAATTTTGAAATCATTTGACAAACGGTAGAATAAAACATTGTGGTCAACAGTATCGAATGCTGCAGAAAGGTCAAGAAGCAGGAGTATTACACATTGTTTTTGGTCAATGGACAATAAAATATCGTTCTGAACTTTAAGTAGTGCTGTTTCTGTACTATGGTATTGACGATATGCACTTTGATAATTACTTAGAAGATTGTTAGTAGATATATAATCGATAAGTTGAATTGAAATACATTTTTCAAGAACTTTAGAGACAAAACTAAGATTGGATACTGGCCTGTAATTCTTGTCTTGATCGGGATCAAGGGAAGATTTTTTAATTAAAGGAATAACATGGGCATGTTTATATATATCTGGAAAACATCCAGTATCAATGGAATTATTTATAATATCACAGATTGATGGAAGTAATTCAGACAAGCAGTCTTTTAGAAGCCAAGTTGGAAAGGCATCAAGTGAACAAGATTTTGTGGCCATAGAGCGGATTACAGTGGCTATTTCAGTGACAGGCAGAGTTTTGAGGCAGTTCAAAGAATAAGTTGCATCATAACTGTCAACAATATCAACAAAATCAGTATCAATTGCAATGTTAGTTCGGATTTTATCAATTTTAGTCTCGAAGAAATTAGAGAAACGGGTTGGCAGATCGCCATTATTGAATGATGGTAAAATTTTCACACCATGATTATGATCCAACAGAGTATTAACGACTTTGTACAGTTCTTTTTGATTATTTTCACCTTTGTCAATTTTATCAATATAGAAGTCAGATTTAGCCCTTTCAATAAGACGAGTTACTCGGATTTTTGCATTTTTATAAATTTCTCCTTTAAATTGGCATCTCCGATGAGATATATATCATCTAATTTTGAGGAGCGTATTGAAGAACGCAGCACATCCCTGTCCAAAGTTTTGAATTTACGAAATGAACCCAGTTTCCTTTCACATTGAGACTTTCGTATGTTGAGATTAAAATTAACGGGAAAGTGATCAGATAGGAGTTTGTCATTGACGTCTATATTATTAATCAAGTGATCGCTTTCTCTAGTTATTATAATATCCAGTGTATGTCCTCTATCATGTGTAGGGTTGGTCACGTGTTGGGTTAGAGAATGTGTTTGAAGAACTTCGTGAAATCGAACAGTGAATGGGTTTTTGATATCGTCCACATGACAGTTAAAATCGCCGACTATGACCGGTTCAATGCGGCAACTGGCCAATTGATTTATCAAATCAGGAAATTCATCGATAAACTTTGATTGAAGTTTGTTGTCTGGGGGTCTATACAATACAATGACTCGAAACTTAGTGTCAAAAGAGTCAACAACACAATCCACATATTCAAATGATGAGTATGACGTTTGTTTACAGGGTTGAAACTTTAATGATGATTTGTGTATGAGAGCTACCCCACCACCACTGCGGGACAATCTTGGTTTATTCTGTATGGAATACCCAATGGGTATCAATGAAGAAAGAACCACTTCATCGTTGGCACCTAGCCAGGTTTCAGTGATGGCGAGTATATCAATATCATGTTCGCATATAAAATCGTTAAGTTCTATAGCCTTGTTTCTAACTGATCTGGCGTTCACTAACGTCATCTTCAAATTAGGAATAACCGTGGGCGGATCTTTTACATGACTAAGATGCGAAAAATTATTGTGATTTACCGTATTATTAAGAAATTTTATGTCGTTTTCCGGTCGATCTGAAATCACTACTTGTATTCTTCTGATCCGATTTTTTCCAGAGGAGCAGCCCCTTCGAGTCTTTTTGCCTTTAATAATGTCAGATGTAGCATTTTGTAGAGAATTACACTCAGATTTAGTTAAAATGTTACTGTTGCTTTTTAATAAAAGCTGATCCCTGGTGTAAGTGAGTTGAGTGAACATAATGAGTAGAAAACACGGTGATAAAAATAGTAACAAATTTGGCAGGTCAGTCAAAGTCATTGATTTCATGCTTCATCGGTCACTAATCAGTTCAATAAAATATTTCAACTAGCAAATAACTTCAAAATATACACAATTCTACCATTTAAGTCGCAAATATGGAATCTCCAATCCTTTAGCAAGACACTGGCAGAGACACAGAGGGCAGCCATCAGCGGAGTTATTGCCCTTGACTTAGTAAAACTTGTCAAATTCGGCTTGTAGGTACGATAGAGACTACAGTTGTTATCCAATCGTAGTAAAACTATTTATGCATGATGAGATCAAATTGATAATAATCGAATCAACAGTTTCCGAGTTATTGCCCTTGTGTGTACAGCGATGAGACATTGTTCATGTTTGAATTTCATGATAACTTGATGAACTGTTTCAGGTTTTTGCCTTGGCTTATGGATGATTTTAAGATTATTTGAAAATTTATTATTAACCCACTACAGATTTTGTTATCATTCTGACAGCTGGTAGTGGGCGTATGCTACTTTGCCTGGCAAGCTATCTTTGATGAAATGTTCACCATTTCCAGAGTTATAGTACTTGTTCTTTGTAATATGACCTAAATTTTTATGGAAAGGTTTAAGGGTCGATATACTCTTTTTCATTTCAAATTAATAAATTGTGCTCTGAGCAAGTGTAGTGGTTATTACCCCTTGAGAAAGTAATGGCTGAAAGCTTACATGTCAACCTTTTACATAGATGTTCATATTTTTAGTAGTTTATGTAGTTGAGGTTGATAGGGTCAATATTTATGGTATGTGTTAAGATCTATGTGTTATGGTCTGCCATTCCCTTTTTGCATATGAAATTCTATCGATTTGCTTGGTGTACCTTTGGACACTCCACCCCTGATTTTCCCGGTAGTAGACTCGATTGTCACACGTAGTTTTTATGTTAGTCTTGAAAGATTTTTTTTCATTTGAAATTGGTTGTATTGAGGACTGTTGATTTTTTTTTTAGTTAATCGCATTCTTATGTACTGAGTAGAAGAAAAGTAAAGATTTATATATCTTATATACGCAACTTCAATCATAATTATCCAAACCTTGTTGATTCACAACCTACAAGCTTCAAATATACACTCATTATATCTAACAATAAAAATGTCTTTTTTTCAGTAAACTGAAAATGTTAGACTTGAGTAAGACTGTGGAATTACTTAGGAAAGCTGCACCAGAGCTAGAGTCAAAGCTGGCCAATGGGAATAGGACTTGTCCCACTGAAATAGTTCAAACATTAATTCCAACGGTAGTTACTACAACTGCTCCGACAGAATTTCATATGCAAAAAGGGAATGAGAGACCATAACATATATCAGAAAAAAGGACCCAATAGATCTTAACACATACCATAAATATTAGCCCTATCAACCTCTTCTAACAACACAAACCACTAAAAATATGAACATCTATGTAAAAGGTTGACATGTAAGCTTTCAGCAATTGCCTTCTCAAGGGGTAATAACCACTACACTTGCTCAGAGCACAAACTATTAATTTTAAAGGAAAAAGAGTATATCGACCCTTACACGACTGCTAATTAAGGTGTTTATTAATTTGCCACGCAAAGTTTCCGTGGTAAGTGGCCTTAAGAATTCGCCACGCAGTGTAGTTATGATATGTTTAAAATGATAATACCAAAATGATATGTAAATGTGAGGAAATGACAAAACACATTTGTTTTATCACAATTTACTAAAGCAATATGACAAAGCTGGTATTATAATAAGTATTAGACAATTTAACAGAGCATCTTATTTTGACCCAAAAACCCTTCCATAAATTTTTTCTGTAGAACATTCATGAAAGCAAATCTCAGAGGAAATTTACTAAAGGATTAATGGTTTGGCCTATCGTCCTCGAAATGACCGTATTAAACAGTTGCCAGAGGTGGCTCAATCATTTAGGATGACCAGACGATTTTTGATATATTTGAGCAAATGTCATGAAATTATGTCTACATAGATCGAAGCTTGAGCCCCTCCATGTTTCAAGGTCAATGCATGAAATCGTAGTCATATTCTGAAGTTTCAAAGTAACCCGAAATATATGCCACCACCAGTGGTCGCAGAAATTTATCTTTGAGATTGATTATCATAACGTAATAAGGCAAAGATGATGGGAAAATTGTATAGAATGCAAGCTTTTTAGCCCTTTATTTCAAAAAGTTCACAACCGAATCCGAATCCCCTTTTAAATGGATTCGCAAGAAAACGTTCGAATCTCATTAATTTTAGGACAATACTTTTAATGAAGAATTTAAGCCTGTCTTGAATCCCATTGATGATACCCTTTAGTAAAAAAACGACACATAAGCATATGGAATATTATGATAATTTATATATTGTATTATAGATTATTTAAAAGATTAATATCTGCATGATGCGAAGTACAAATTAATATAATACTGAGAAATTAATGCATTCAAAAAAAAAGAAAAAGCGGTTATGTCCAATCGTAAGAAAAACACTGTGTCATTGTCGTTTTTTAATTGTTACCACTCAAATCCTTGCAGCCTGTATTATAGTGGTAATGATCAGAAACATTTTATAAAACATCACTTGTAGGTTTTCTTGTACCGTTGTGATTGACTCTACGTTGGTGACCTCCAAACTTAAGAAACTCTTCAGATGAATTTTCTCTGAATGGTTTTCGTCTTGGCTTCAGATTTTTCTTTATTTCTTCATACTCTTTCTTTCTATCACTATCCACAGGTGCTCGCTCTCTTGGTCGTCTGGTAGCATTGTTTTGTCTTTGAATTCTGTCAAAATCGAAAAAATCGTCAGCCGTTTTTTCTTTGTATAACTTTCTTGGTTCTTTAAGTTGTGTTGTATTTTCAGCCATATTTGCTGTAATTTTTCTGTATAATTTTTACCAAAGCTGAAATAAAAAATATAGTAGTACTAATTTACAAAAAGACTTAATTTGCAGCCAACCGTATCAGAACATTGCTAGATTCTTCCCATACACATCAAATATCTATATATAAATTAGAGCATATTATATTATTATGTTATGAGTTAACCAAGTGATCTAAATGTAATATAACTCATTGATGACAGATCACGATTTCAATCAGATTATCGGAACAAGATATAATATCATTTATGATCACCGGATCATGAAGTATGAATTATTTCTATTTTTCTCTTTGCCTTTATTTGTTCGCGCAATAACATGTATGATTCTCAACTTACTGGCGGTGATGGCACTAGCATGGATAGAAGAAATATTAATAAAATCTTAGATGAATTTGAAATTGGTTTCATTTCTACGTTTTAATTAAGATAAAATGCTTCAATCGATTGATCATTTTTCATGGTTATAGGCCTACATTGTGACTAATTTACGCAAACAAGAACTGTGACAAATAAATCTTTCATCATGGTATTAATTGGGACTTACTTTCGATATACCAGTTTTCCTTAGACCATTTCGAGTACCAAATTTCAGATAAAAAAAAAAATTAGCCGTTTATCTACATGAAACAGTGCTGGTCCACTCGATTTCTATTATAATGCAGTCCTTTATTTACTAAATAAAGTTTATTTTACATATTTCATGATTTTTTTTTTACAAATTTCTCAAAGTCATATTATTGATGGATCTATTCTGATGGAATATCTATCTCATCTTCTTATCGCATGTCAAGTCTCCATTCAGAGTTCCTTTCATATTGTTACGGATGATTAGAGTTCTTTCCTTGTTATTGTTATTCTTAATAAATATTTAATGTTTGAAAATCGGTCAGGTGTCCCACACATGTTTACCCTTAGCAACGTCGTTAAACAAACAAGACATGTAACATAAGCCTATGCTCAAACTTGTTTCCGTGTTTCAATTTAGTTCACAGAAACTAATCCCACATCCTGAACACCCGATGTCATCATGTGACCGGTTTATCAACTTTCCGAAGTCCAGATGTTTTTACTGTGTCTCATAAAAACAGTTTCCATCTTCACCAAAACATCACCATTTTCCGGTTAAAAAACCTACTCAATTATACGTATATTACAGTACAAATTTTACAATGTATTACGAAATAACAAAATCTTATTTGCAAATGTTTCCCTATGGGTAGTTCAGCTAAAGAACACCCTAGACTTTAGACAGTGCTGTGGTCTTCGAAACCTAAGATATATATAGGATGATTCTAAAAAATAAGTTTCCTCCGAAATGTTAAACAAAAACATATTTAATTACGAACTGCAATTTCGTGATAATAAATTGGCAAAATGGACACCAGACTTGCTTGCTGAAATGAATTCTCGATGTAAGCAAATTTGCTTAGAACCTGTTTAATAAGCACCCATAAAGCATAGGCGGAAATGTGAATTTTTAAAACAATGAAATTCGAGAATATTTGAGCGAAAATTGTTTTACTTACATGACTATGTATCCACTGTCAACGACAACCAAGTTGTGTCTAATGAAGAGATCAATGAAATAGAGAGTAATATACTTAGATATATGATCAATACCTATTTATTATTTAAATATAATATTTTCAAGGGAGGTCCCAATCTTAAAGCAAAACATACCAGAAAGTTCTCGAACCGTGGATCTCAGTCAATCGTTCAGGTACGAACGTTACGTTACATAATCTAGATACAATTGAATATTTAATGCGTTAGATGCTACATTTTTGCCCAAAGCTCTCATTGGAGTGGCGGAGCCAAGTTAGCGCCCGAGAGTGAGGGGGGGGGGGGGGGGGTATTTTGGTCGAAACATCTGAGATTACCCGAATTTCTAGCCGAAAAACTTGCTTTCGGGGCTGCGAGGAAAGCGGGTGTCCCCTCTGTTCGGTGGCAAATCGTTGCATTTACAAGTAAAATAATATTCCAGTCTAGGTGGTGGACACATCTACTGTCCCGACCTTCATAAGTTCTCTGCACGGTTTGATGACGAATTTGGATAAACAAGGTGTTGACATTCTTTTTTGATTTTCTATTTTGAATTTAGATTTTGTGATACAAGCTCAACATGCGATACGGTCTACCGATTTCAGTGCAGGATCATTCTGGCTCTTTTATACCGGACTCCAATTCTTATTCTATTAGTTCAAAGTTGATGTATCTCCCATCTTATGTAATCTTCGCAAGTAATGTCTTGGTTTTCCGAGTATCTGTCTAATCTCTTCCTAAATGTTGGGGCTTATGCCCTATTTTTTCGGTGAATTGTTTTGTTATTGATCTTTTAATTTGGCCGGATCATATTGATGTACATTGTAATATTTGTGATGTGCCCTCAGACGATTTCGACCTGAAAAGTAGGACGTAAAACTCCATTTAATTTCAGACAATTTTTTTTTTGATCGAACATCACTTTAGTTATTACCATACCTAGTTTCGTGTGTGACCGCAGGGTCAAATAATGTTAAATTATTAACATCTCTTCAGTTTTCATTCACCAAAGTGTATGTCGAATAATAGGCTGTTGCTTGGCAAAGGTAATGAAACCTATACATGCTTATAAAAGATTTACGATATACCGTTTCTTTCGACTGATTTTATTAATCGGGACATTCTAACATTGCTTGTAATGGTCTGTTGGAGATATGCGTGGTGTGAAGTAGCCCATGATCACTATCGTGAAAACATGATTGTACCAGTCTTGGTTCGGCATGCTCTGAGGCAGTCTAAAGTTAAATATAATAAATATGCAAAATTGTTTTGAGAATTCTCAAGAAGGAATTTTGAGCTGGCAAAGCCAATAAAAAGGACCGGAGATAAATTCCATGAATTCATTTTGGCACTCAATGGTGGCTTTTTTCTCTGTGAACCAATTGTCATATCGGCTATGTTTTAAACAGTTTGGACTATAAAGGGAAATGGAAGACATGTGGCACAGATGCATTAGCTTATCTTTATACAAATCTTAAAACCCAACAATGTTCCTTTGCAGATTATATCTTCTCTTCATGATTAGTAACAATGAACATAAAACAAAGTTTAGGAGGATCTTTTTATTGCAAGTATCTGTTGATGGGTTTGATGTATTTTAGATAAAATGAAAGTTGTTAAAACAATGGTTGTTAACAATATCAGACTAGAAAATATAGATAAACCAATAAATAAACTGGTCCTATTCTCGCTACGATCAATTCTATCATAAACTTCATCTAACATTGCTTTCCTCTCGTTTGTATTTTTCTGCAACATCTCGGGTCCATATTGATCTTTTCCAGCAGGTTCATTAACTACATTGACATTAGATTTAATATCGTCAGCTACTATGATCCTTGTAGTTTCCTTTCCGTCATATTTACCAGAAACAGTGTCTTGTCCAGAAGGATTGACGATAATACGGGGTATAGATGAGATATTGACTCGATGTAGGCGCCGAATGGTCCCATTTGTCTCATCAGGAAGAGTTTCGTTCATTCCTGAATAAAAGCAATCAATACATTGACAATAAAAAAGGCCTACCAATGAAACAAATTATCCAGTGTATAAACGTATTCAGGTGTTTTGTAAGAGTGAGCATGTCCTGACCAGCTTGAAATTTTACCCAAAGAAATAATATATGCCAATAGATCAATCCTGAAAACCAGTAGAGTCATTCACCTATCAATGTGTACCAAATAAACAAACTTAGCGTTTAATCTGAGCGATCATGCCGATATCTAATAACTATACTAATACGACTACGATTGCTTTATAAATCTATTATTGAAATATTATCATCACTCCTTAATGACTGGGTCAATCCCGTATTTTGTTCCAGTAAAACATACCTATTGAAATAGTCGACATTTGACCATGTAAATAAACTCGTTTATCGAGCTCAACATCTCTCTTATATCTATTTAGTCTAGCTGCTGGGCAGGAATTCTGAATAAAAAATATGCCACACAGCAATCAGTCTATGGGAACAAAACCATATAATACTCATTTGTGCTCTCATATTGAGCGGTACCGGTAGAATAATGCGAAATTGGACCATCACTTTAAATGAAATATAATATACAAAATTTAAACAAAATTCTTCACTTCAAATCCAATAATGTCAAAGCAGGTGTAATATATAGGCCTAAACTTACCTAAAACAGCAGTTTAACAAATTGCTTTGGCACTCAAACAGTAAACGTAGATCATGCGTGAGATCTAATACTAATCAACTAATTGGCCACCAAATCAGCCATTTAAAGCAAAATCTTTTAATGCAGACTGGAAGTCACCATTGAATTCAGATAACGTTTTATTCTCTCAATGACCTTGACAGGAGACAAATTATCAACCGCGCTTTGGCATACTTGGATCTCTATATTTCCATGTGGAAAAGTCTTGGCTACTTACAGTGTCGCATGGAACTTCACAAACAACAAAATGGCAGCTTATCTTAATGCCCATTTTTCTATGAAGTTTAAAAAGTCGAAATTTGGGACTAATACCAACTAAACCATTCATTTCAAAGCCTTCCGAGATCTTCCATGGAAAACCAGTACCACAACTAAAAGGAAGATTAAACGAAAAGTAACAGCAGAGGCTGAAATCTCACCGAGCTGTTCAATAACGTATGTAAAGGTGAGAAAAAATCAATAAAACTACATAATTAAAGAGTAAGAAGGTTGCCAAAAATCCATTCGCGCACCACACAGTAATGCAGCCTGTCTATAAATGTCTATCTCAGGATTTATCGATCCTTGATAGATCTAAAAATCCTCACTATTTACTGATTTTCTCTTTGCCCTACAATTTGGTTTTCCCAGCCATCTTGTTCATGTGGTAGACTATAACCTAACGGAATAGAACAAATCATAATTGTAGAAAATATTTATTGCTAAGTTACAAAGCGCCTCATTATTCAATATCTTACCCATCTGACAATATAACCAACTGTTGACCACCATGCTCAGCTTGAGCTACACACTGGATTGGAGCAAACCCCACTTCTGCTCTTTCTCCAGCCACTTTTGGAGCTGGAAGAAAAGTAAAGGCTTTGGTAAGTTTTGATAGAAAAGAACAGTTATTGACTGTTTAAGTCTAGAGAAAAACATTTCACCCAATATTATTTTTAATTATATTCTAATTTAGATTACCTATTCTTAAATGAAAATATTGAAACCCATCATTTACTTGTAATTTCTTTTTGCATCATTTCGATTTCTTGCTTACGCGATCGACTCCGATTCCCGAAAATTTGGAATTTATGGTTTTGACGTCAATGTCACAAAAAAACCCATTAGCTTAAATCGAATATTCAAACTAAAACTGTAACTTATGTTTATGACAATTCCAAATAATGTGTTATGAGTATATATTAATAAAGAGGGCAAAATAATAATCAAAATACTAAAAAATTGCTATTCTGAAAATGTGGCAAACTACATTGTATTTTTGTATTAGAAAAATAATGCTTACGAGTCATATCCGCACGCAGTTTCACAACTCGTTTTTCTAGTAATGGTCCAGTTAAAGGTCCACCTAAGATATTCACCATATAAACAGAAAAGGTAGACTTGGCTCTTTCAGCTACATTATTGAAAGACATTATTGGTGGCCTAAATCTAAATTCAAAAAAGAAAATCAAAAAAGGATGTCATTACTAGAAAATTCGTCATCACACTGTGCAAAACTTATGAAGTTAAGGGACTGTAAAAATGTCAACCACATGGAATATTACTTTACCTGCTTATAACTCCAAATGACTGCTCTACTTGTGACCAGGCCATGAAATTACAGATAACAAGGTATGTTTCATCTTCTAATACTTCTATCATTGGGTGTTGTTTTCTCGTTTCAATAGTAACAGTGTAGATAGACCTCTCTGGTGCACGTTGCTAGCAGAAAAAGCAGAATACATGAAAGCATGCTATTAATAAAAAAAATTACAATTACGTTTTTTCTCCGATATTTTCGACTCCAATGCAAACAAATATCAGAAATACTACACCTTAAATTTGCAATTTCCTGAATCTCCATAATGAACGGTTACATCAAATTCCCCTAGACTTTCTTTTTCAGCAAAATCACATTGCATCTCTCCAGAACCGAAGGCATACACTGTCCGTACATCTCCAATAAACAGAATTTTAGATGGTTGATCTATACCATCACCACAATCAACTGTCACTAGAATTAAAAAAGCTTGCTAAACGAAAGTGGAATTTTGTCGATAACAAATGAAAAATCAACGAAAGTGAGTTATATTGTTTTCTGACTATTATAAACATCAAAGAAAGTGTATCATATTGTTTTCTGACTATTATAAACATCAACGAATATGTATCACATTGTCTTCTTACTTTTATAAAAAAAAATCAACCAAATTGTTTTATATTGTTTTCTGACTTATAAAAAATTAACGAAAGTGTGTTATATTGTTTTGTGACTTTTGTAAAGATAGCTTGCCCGGCAAGGTAACATACGACCACTACAAGCTTAAAAATGAATTTTCAAATAATCTAAAAAATCATCTATAAGTCAAGGAAAAAATCTGAAACAGTTCGAGTTATCAAATTCAAACATGAACAATGTCTCATCGCTGTGCAATAACTCTGAAACTGTTCATCATCCGAATAACCAATTTCTAACTTGCATAGCAAGTTTTATCAAGATCAGATACAATCTGTAGCCTCTATCGCAAGAAATGTGAACGGACGGACCGACCGATGTGGCCGTATAAAAATCAAAGAAAGTGTCTCACATTGTTTTCTTAATTTTGTATCATGTTGTGAAACTTAACAAATTATTGCCCGCAATAGCTAACTTTGAAAACTTATCTATGTAATGTTGAAGGGATCATATTATTGTGATCACATTCAATGTTAACTAAATTAATATTTTTATCAAGGCAAAGTCATTCCAAGACTTCCAGTACTGCTTTAAAACTGATTTTGTAATAGACTAAGATAATCAAAATTCAATTTACCTACGAAAGTGCGAAGAGAGTAGAGTGTTTACGAAGATATGTGAAAATGTGACGGACTTATAGGACACAGACAATATATATCCACTTACTCAGATGTGCGCATAGTCGATGACACGACATTCAAACATAATCAAATCTTCAGTCTAGACATATTCAAAATTAAGTCGATCAAGTATAATAAATGAAGTAACATAATTACCTTGAGATGTAGAATCGGCTGAATTGACTGCTATTACCTTAGAAATAAAATGAATGATATAAATACAAAAAACTTATATACTATTTTCTCCACTGCATAAGCATATAGCTTGGCCAATCCATTGAGAAACGTTATTTTACTGCAGCGGACCTCAAACAAAAAAATATTGTTTCAAATCAGGTCCATCTTCACAATGCAAGCCATACACATCATCGGTCGCGTTTTTTGTATCACTGAAGTTGATTGGATTGTACTCTAGCGAAAACAGCCAATCAGTGCCTGTAAAGTCTGTTTTCAATAAACCATAATGTTTACATACTTTCTGTCGAGGCTCTGATTGGGTATATTCGCCTGTTCACACTAATCAAATCGCAGCATAATAGTATCTAGCTCGACACTGAAGATTGTTTTTCTGTCATCAGTTATTCTTGTTTGATATTAGTTCAGGAACTCTAGACTACAAAGAATATTGTGCGGTAGAAAGAGTTTTTCTTAGGTCAAAACAGATAAAATAACGCGATATAAAATGAGATCATTGTGAACTTGTTTTTTAACCACAAAGATAATGTCTTACCAGGCAGTAGAAACAGGTCCAAAACAATATCGCTACCATGTTCTAAATCTAAAATATCTGAAATAAGTTTTACATGTAGCAATTAACATTCTTTTATACCAGAATATCAGCTATTAGAAAATAAATTAATTAACAAATCGAATAAAGAGCTTCCGTTTGTCAGAAAAGAAACTTTAAATTTGTTTGAATCAATTGTCCATTTGATAATTTGCACTGACAAACTCTGAAAAAAGAAGACTAACACCAAAATATCGATGGTGCACTAGAAATGCTCTCCCACCTTTATGTTAATAGTTCAAACCCACTGTTCCGGTTAATTTGCAAGATAGCTGCATACAGGCTGTAACAGGTTTCTTTTGTTCAATAATCAGTCCATGTTAACAACCCTGTAAACTAAAAGACACACGACACATGCTTTTTTTTCAAATTTTTTGGGAATTTCGGGTTTATTGGAAAAAGCAGTTTACTTTAAATGATAATTAGAAACATGTAAAATAAAATCAGCCAGAAAAATAACCAAATGGAGCTAAATAAAATAATGGCCTCGTTGCAAATCAATCTGAGCTAAACGGATCGTTAAGAGGCTTTTTACTTTTTATGTGTACAGGGGACACAGCTATTTTTGGATTTTTTTTGGACACCTATGGATTTGCGCCATAACAGTTTTAACTCAAGCAATTGTGGTTCTTGCAATCTTGAAATCATCTTTCCAAATAATAATTTTGTCATTGATTGACATTTCATGAACCCAAATACAATCTAAAATTTTCAGTGCTATACTTTGAAATTGATTTTTCAATTAATACAACAAGATTTGATGGAATTCTGTTAAATAGTGGACAGACAGTAACCATACGATTACCAACAGTTCTTAAACACTCAAATTCGAAATCACAAATCGTATAGAATATAGCATACTAGTCATATTTATAATTTTGACATAATCTCATTCAATGGTTTCAGTTTCAGAGAGATGACCAGAATTTGTAACATTAGTCGCGTGGAAATGTCATAAAAAAAGAAAATACCAACTCTATTTTCTGCAGTCACTTTGGTGTTGACGAACGAAAGATTTTAATCTATCACGTGATCAGTTGCTCATGCATCTCTACAGGTCGTACAATCGCGACGTTGGGAATATTAATAGTAAAAAAGCTAACTCGATATTTTGAATATCCAAAGTTATCTATACGTATGCACTGGCGCGGCGACTGTATGTATGTCGAAGAATTTTCGAGATCAAGTCTTTTTTCGTAAAATTTTGCAAGTGTCGTCGCCTGTATTTTATAACATGTTTGATGCATGCCAGTGTTGGATTGTAGTAAAATATATTATACAGTGAAACGACATAAAATCAATGATTGCATTCGCTCCATCTAACTAATCGTAAAATTATAAACGAGAAGACCTCTCATTTAATTGTTATTCATTCAGATTTGAAGATACAAATATCGTTAATTAAAGTTTTTTTTAAATTGAACTAAGATGTGAATTATTCCAATCAAACAGGCAACTCACATGCACGTGAAATTTCTGCCAGGTGAACTGACATCATATCATTAAGAGTATATATAAGTAGATGTGACATTCAAAGTATTGTTTGGATTGCGGATTTGACTGAGAGAGGTAAAAGCGATACAGGTAATTAAATTCCTAAACATCCTGTTATCCTGGCTCCGTTTCGTGTTCGTACTATTTCTAACCGTTCACTAATTTCTGAATGGAATTCATTCGGTCACTCCAAAAAATTATATTCTGCAAATTATATTCATGATTTACTATCGTGTGGGTAAGCCAAAAATGCCAAAAAGCACGAGTTCAGATGTTATGTTTTTTGTATTTTTAGAGATAAAATGAACTGCATTACATCATTAGTCTCATTTTGTATTTTGGTATCCTTGGCATCAGCCTCTTCTACACGTAAGTCCTCTTATACTATTTTTTTGACTAATCAAAGTTTGGAGATTCTCAATTATTCAATGTTAATATCTCAGGTTTAGGAAATTTGAAGATATTAAAAGAAGGTTTTCCCTTACCCTTGTATAGATGATGTTTGTCTGACGTTACACTTCACTCCTTCATTTGAGCGTTTCCGACATTCGGTTTTAGAATTTATGACTTTTTTATTTTAAAGTTGATGTGGAATGTGGCGATCCAAAAACTTCCACGTCAGCGGTCTTGACGTACTCTGGTGATGCTGTATCTATAGTTGCTTATGGCAAAAATGACCCATGTGAATTTATCGACAATATAAAAACCGGAACTCGCATGATAGAAATCAGTTATAATCCTTCCGATGCTTGTTCCTTTATAGTAAGTTATGAAATTTTTTATGGTCGGGCCTGTACAATTTCTGAGCATTTTCATTTGAATAGAAAAGAGAACACCCTTTTATATCTAGTCGTGAAATTATTTGAGCAAACACGACATGTAGGGGTAATTGACTGTTTTGCGAGTGAAATTATTGCATAGATTACAGAGCTCATAGTTTCGGAAGATTAAGTTGGTAATGTATCGCTAATTTGAATTTCAGCAAGAGGTCCCTGGTACGCAGTCGTATACTTTGAAGATTGAATCTAGAATGCTACACGAGTTATTTGAATCTGGTAATGATGAAAAGTTTCTAGTCGATTGTAATTTTCAGTCCTTCAAATCTGACATCTCGGTTGATGTTGACATCCAAGAGAAGTAAGTCCATTATCACCCTGGTGGTTTTTAAGTAAACCTTGTCCGTAAGCCAAAACCTTTTTGAATTAGTTGAAACGTACCGATTTCCCGAAATAGAATCGAATCATAGTGCATTTCCATGTACAATTGGTTGCTGTCTGGGGAATCCTGTGTGTTGTGCCTTATGAATTCTATACTTCTTTTCAGAATTTAGCTCTGTTTATAAGCATGGGGGCATGATCATACTATCAAAGCCTAACACTTGCAAGACTTGGCATGCAACTCGTTACAATTGTTTTGCAAATGTTTCTTTTTCACTTTTAGAATAAAGGCACCAGAATACCAGCTTATCTTAAGTGGAAATGAGGCTTCATCAGACTTTCAGATATATGTTGCAAGAGCAGCTGATAATACGGAATTAACTGGTCCGATCAAACAATCTGCTATTGTTAATTTACATACCACGATGACTGGTAAGGTTATTTTCAATTAGAATAAGGCTACAGTATGATTTTTTTTATAGCCAGTAATGATCTACATCAAGTTTCTAATATGTATGTATAATATTGATAATTAATTACAAACTTACATGTAGGTTATTTTTCCTTTTAGCTTCTGGTGGTGAAGCTGCGTACATGCCGGTAGAATGTACAGTAGAGTCAAAAGATGGAACGGTCAAGGTTCATATTCTTGCTTCAGGGTCCGTATTCTATTAATCTTTACCAGAATTTTCGCATTAATGAAATAGATTAAAGTGAAAGTAGCGCTATGTAAGCTGAAGGACTAATTATTTTGTGTGATTAATGCTTTCATCGCTTTAAAATATGAAATTCTGCCATAACAAATTATCGGATTTATCTGGATACTACCAATAAATATGTTCATAACGTTTCACATTTTTTAGTTGTGGTACTGGTTTTCCATGGAAAACAAATGAGGGATTCACGATGTCTGGTGTTGAGGGACAGAGTCCAAATTTTAGAATGTTCCGTATATCAAAAATGTCTGATTTGGTCTTCAAATGTGGCTTTGTAATTTGTGATCAAAACTGTGACGGGGTAAGTATTTTTTTTTTTTTTTTTTTTTTTTTTTTTTAAACCTAGAATTTGAATTGTTCGAGTCTAATAAAACGACTTAAGTAAATGTGACCGAGTTTGAAGCAAGGTTACATTATTTGAATGTTTATGCTTCATTTTGCATATTGATAAATGTAAAATGAGGCAAGATTCTCGCAGCACATAATAGAATATTTTTTTTGCAGTCATCATGTGTTGCAGAGGAACCACTAAGACGACGAAGAAGTATAGCCGAAGGATTAACATACAATTCCTTGGGTTTAATCACAAGTAATTCAACCAAGGTCAGAAGAGCTAGGGTTGCAGTATCGTTGGATGAAAATCCATCTGATACCGGTAAGAGTGTATATTTTAAGTCCAACATCAATATTTATCATTAAAACAAAAACATAGTATTTAAGACGGCAACGTGTTAAAAGATGGGTTCCCTTATTTGTCTCACTTATCATTAATTCATAATTAGCTAAATAATAATAAAAAAAAAACTTGAACTGTTATAACGGTACCGAAGCAGTGCGCATCCAACCTGATACATCGATAAAACGTTGCATTTTAAAGTCACAATTGGATTTTTACCGGAAAGAAAAACATGTAAACGTTCAATAGTAGAAAAAATCGTTTAAACCGTTTACCGTTCGGTAGTGAAAAGACGCATGAATTTGATACCATTCGGTACTAAAAGGTGATAACATTCGGTAGTAAAAAGTCGAATATTCAAATAGCTATAAAGTTAAAAGTTCAATTCGCACAACAAAAATGAAAATATTTTTGGAAAGGTACAATAATTTGTGTTTCGGCCAAGAGGTCAACAGAGGTCAAATAAAAGAGAATATAAGCCTTAAAAGTGTTGAAAATTGCTGTTTTGGGACGTTTGTAAATGCGAAAATATATGTCGGACATCAAAGATAAAAGTATGAATGGACATCATAGATCATTAACCTTTGACCTTCTAAAGACCAAGATTATGCATGTAAATGGTCAAAATATCAAAATTTTATAAATTGTAAATCCTATTCCTTTTCTTAAAGTAAAAGTCCTAAACAAAATGTAACTCTATCAGATATTGTCCCAAATAGTGCTTTAATTTTTTGTAAAATTTCGATGGTGAAAAATGCAAACTTTTCGAGTTATAACAATTTGAATTATTTATGGTAAAGGTAAAAGTAACCCGGATTTGCCACGCCCACTGCAAAAATTTTGTGTTGTCTGTAATAATGTGTACAATGTCAAATAATGTTCAAAATTTCAAGTGTTTACAATCATTAGATCATGAGATATTCGTAGTTAAAAGTTTTTTTAAGGCAACGGTGACTGTCGGCGGATTATAGAAACCGTTAAAATTACGCAAAGTTACTATAGAAGTCAATACAAAATTTTCAAATTCAATTTTAATCAAAATACCAAGTGTTATATATCATTTGAAAGAATAGATTGCGTGTAATAAGGACAAAAGATAAATTTTCGCTTATGTAAATTAGGTCACGTGATAGACCTTTTTTTTTGTTAAAAATCGCGATTTTCAATTGGCTGTAGAACCGGAAGTTAACGGAGCACGACAAAAGTGAAAATATTATCGGATATATCTCGTAATGGGCAACAACCTTTGTTCAGGTCAAAAGGTCAACAAAGGTTAAATTAAAGTAATATGAGCCTTGAAGTTTCGAAAATTGCTGTTTTCGGACGTCTGTAAAACCGGAAGTATATGTTGCACATCAAAAATCAAAGAATGGTCATCTTAGATCAATGACCTTTGACCATGCAAAGGTCAAGGTCATTTACGTTAAAGTTCAAAAATAAAATTTTTTAAAATTGTTAAACCTGTTCCCTTTTTTTTTAAAGTAAAGAACGCAAACAACTGTAATATTATCACAAATTGTCCTAAGCAGTGATCTACTTTCATGCAAAATTTCTAGGATGACAATTGCAAACTATGAGAGTTATAACAATTGCAAATATTTCAGGTAAAGGTAAATGCCCACCGGATGTGCCACGCCCACTTCAAATTTTTTAATTTGTCTGTGATGATGTCTACATTGTTAAGTAATGTTCAAAATTTCAAGTCTTTACAATCATTAGATCATGAGATATTCGTAGTTAAACTTTTTTTTAGGGCAACGGTGACTGTCGGTAAATTATAGACACCGTGATTTTACGCACAGTTACTATAGGAGTCCGTACAAAATTTTCAATTTTTAAAACGCGCAATTTTGATCAAAATATCAAGTGTGATATATCGCCAAAAAGGGGAGATCATGCACTCTAAGAATATATAAGAAATTTTGTTATATGTTAATTAGGTCACGTGACAGAGCTCTTCAAAGTTAAAAATAGCGATTTTCAAATTGCTGTAGAACCGGAAGTTAACAATGCACAACAAAAGTGAGGATATCATCGGATATATCTCGTCAGGGGCAACAACTTTTGTTCAGGTCACAAGGTCACCAAAGGTCAGTCACTAGTTATGAGCCTTAATATTTTTGACAATTACTGAAAACATAAAACCGGAAATAAAAAAAAAAAAATACGAATCCAAAATTCAAAAATCGGCTTCTAAGTTTTGTTAGCAATCGATTGCAGATTCTTTAGACACAAATCACACAAATCAGATTTACCCCTGAAGCTTAATATCGATTTTTACAAAAATTGGTCACATCAAGATGGCGTCTAACACGTTATTTCCGGTTCAAATTTTTTCATTCCAAAATTGTTATATGGAGAATTTTAACTAATTTCAAAAAATTTTTCAAATACCTACAAAAATTCCGGAAGTTGAAATTTCAAGTTTAGAGGCGAATGACGTCAAAACCGGAAGTGATATGGAAATTATGAAAATAGATTTTTGTCAGGAATCAAAATGCTTATACTATTAAATTTTCAGACCGATTGAAATAAAATTGTAGAAGTTGAAAAAAACGCTAAAATTAAAACAAAAAGTCAGCGACAAAAGTCCAAATCTGAAATTTTATAAAGTGCTATCTTTTAGTCATTGGCTTAAAGTAATGAACAAAACAAAAATTAGATGCAGAATTAGAGCAGTAATTCGAAATACGTAATGAATGGTTAATGTCAAACGTCATTTCCGGTTGGAAGAAAATGCGTCATTTAACATTTAAACAGTAGCGACACGCAAAGTATAAGAAATAATAGTGTCAGACAATGTGTGACATGTGCAGTTTTGCTGGGGAGCGTGACCAGTCATTTGCAAAACAATGCAGTGCGTTCGAAGCACTGCAAAAAATACCAGAAAAATTGCAATGAGTGACACTAAAAAAGAAGGAAACCCATCTTAAGAACAGAATTGGTTGATTTGACCTGAGTGTAAAATCCCAGCTTTAACATTTTTGAAAACTTGTATTTGCAGGTGTGCAGACGGTGGATAAAAGTTATTTTTCCTCGGCATATACACTTATTCTATCATCATCGGCCGTATTATTAGTTATATTAGCGGTGGGTCTTTTGTGTGTATCGCTCAGAAAAAGAAAAATCATTTATACTATTGACGAGGAAATTACTTCGATGTGAATAAACAGTTGCACACAATTTTCTTGTCTTTAATTATGATGTTCATAATATGCTGAGAGCTTGACTCTTCCAGCGCAGGTTTCTCTTAGTATCCAATAAATCTGAACCAAAACTAAGAACCAAGGTTTAGATTTTAACTTGCATTTCCCTTAATCAGACTCAACTTTCTTTTAGTGGCTCACTTAATTGTTCAGAGTTTTGACTGACTGCTAGTCTAAGTTTTTTACCACGAAAATTTTACTTCATATGAATCCAGCTTGTGTAAGACTTTAATGCGTCAAATTTGCAAACTTGAACTTGATGCGTACTTTAAAAGAACAAACTTTTACGTATAGATTTATTGCTCTATTGTTAACGATTTTCTAAATATGCTAATTTATCAACTAGATTCATTATTAGAATAAAAATCTGTTGGGTCATTTATAAACACTCAATATTTTTTTTTAGTACAGAAAAAAGTATCGTCTTATCTTGTATATTAGTCTTCCAAGACCAACCAAAATGTAGATTTTTTTCATATCGTCTTGGTATTCTGAAAAAATTGAAATAATTTCAAGACTTTCAGATAAGCTAAGGGATACAATTCACATTTTGGTTTATAGTTTTCATTAATTTGCAGATAACTTTCTCAACATTTCTATGTTTAATGTATTCTGGGTCACTGATCCCATTCCAGTTATTATTGTCACATTGCTATAATTCCAAGAAAGTGGTCAACTCGTATCGCCTTTGATCATCTAATCATTCTGAGTCAGATTTTTTCAGACAGAATGGAATGTATATGTCTGTGTCAATGGTGACAAGACTTCGTGATACAAAAAAAAAAAACTTCTCAATTCAATATGAGCCCAACTGACATCCATCCTAATGGATGAATAACAATATGCTCCTTTCATTCAATGCAATGCCATCCATCATCGAGACTTCCCCTGTGTAGCAACAATCTTCTCTATTACACCACACACATGGGACTATTGTTATTGCAAGAGCATGGATTGTTGGCGAACACACGTTCTACTGCTTCGAATAAATTCTATTATGCTCGGATATACAACATGCTCGATGTAAAACAAATTCTTTTTCTATCTTTCAACCCTATTTAAGAGCACCAAGCACTTAATTGTAGTAGGAGAGCTAAGTGAGGTACATTTTCAAACTCGCATACAAAAAAAGTTATTATGCTTGGTGTGTCGTCGGTCTTTAATATCGCCTCCTTGCGTCTTTAGTCTGTTAGTCTACAGAACATGATAAATATCTTCTTTGCAGTGCGTTCTTCGTAATTTCAAAAAAATATGATTTTGTGTCGCTTATCTGAAGAATCTGTAGTAGTTGCAGCAACATTTGCAATGCCTTACATCTACATTTGTGGTCTGTTACTGAATGAATATAAATTGGAACATGTTTGCAAAACGGTAAGTTACACAGTGCAAAATGTGCAAAAAGTAGAAAATTTGCTCTACAAGGCGCATTTTTTGAGCAAATTTTCTCGGGTTTTTAATTTAGGGATCTCGCAAGAATATCCAATAGGTGAGCAGTTAAAAACTCTCCAATTTTGACAATTCGTAGCACACATTTTAGAGCCGAATTTTGTAAATTTTGACCAAATTTTCGATTTTTTCTGATATTTGTCCGATTGCTTTGAAACTTTTGGTGATAAAACAGATCGCAACAGAAAACAAATTGGCATAATCAAAAACTTTGCATCACTTCCTGTATTCTGAATGAATGTAACTGAAACGTATACTAAAAGGTATATATCGTTATGACTTACAAAATCAGAGGCATTTACTAGACACGAAAATTGATATTTTGGCCGCCATTTGCATTTTCTTGAAATAGGTCAAAATTTTATTCAGAGATAACGGCTCATCCGATTTTGATGATTTTGGTGTTAAATGAAAGAGCAGAAAAATTAAAGAAAATTATGGGAAGCCGATTTGTGAATTTCGCTTTTGTTTTTTTTGCAATTTCCGGTTGAATTATTTCGAAGTTTGGAGGCTCATAACTGGTGACCTTGACCTTGGGTCACATTGACCTTTACAAAATTGAAGGTCATTGACCTTGACTGTCGGTTAATACTGTTATATTTGATCTCCGATTTCTACTGCCGGTTTTACAGCTGTCCAAAGACAGCACAATTTTCAACTTTGAACTGCTCTATCAAGTGACCTAATTAAAATAGATGGTTATTGTTTTCAGATTCTTAATGGACTTTTCACGCTCTTTCTGACTGTATATAACAAAAGTTTCTAATGCCAAATTTAAAATCTTGACTTTTGACACTGACTTTTTGATTTTAAATTTTGATTGTTTTCTACAGGTAGATTGATACTTTGATTGCAAACTAAAATCAGTTGTCAAAAGTTAGATATCACTTCTAGTTTTGACGTTATTCGCCCTTGAAATTTCAACTTCCGGAATTTTTTAGATATTTGAAAAATTCTTTTTGCAATAAGTTATAATTATCCCTGTAAAGATTTTGGAATGAATAAATTTGACCAGGAAGTGTTTGGTAAGACGCCATCTTGATATGACTAATTTTCACAAAACTCAAAATAGGGCCTCAGGATGTGCATAAATCTAATGTTCATGTAAACTGCAATCGATTGAACAAAAAACTGTTGAAGCCGATTTTTGAATTTTGGCTTTGCATTTTTTTTATTTCCGGTTTTATGTTTTCAGTAATTGTCAAAGTTATTAAGGCTCATATCTAGTGACTTTGACCTTTGGTGACCTTGTGACCTGAACAAAAAGTTGTTGCCCCTTATATATCCGATAATATCTGCATTGTTAACTTCCGGTTCTACAGCTATTTGAAAATCCCGATTTTTAACTTTGAAGAGGTCTGTCACGTAACCTAATTAACATAAAACAAAATTTCTTATATAATCTTAATGTGCGTGAAATTAAAATTTTTTAAGTGGACATGGAACATCCGGTTTTTTTTTTTACCTTTAGTATAAATATTTGCAATTGTCATAACTCGAAAAGTTTTCAATTGTTACCTTAGAAATTTTGCATGAAAATAGATCACTGCTTAGGAAAATTTGTGATCAGATTACAGTTGTTTGTGTTTTTTTACTTTAAATAGGTTTGACAATTCTAAAAAATTTAATTTTTGAACCTTAACATAAATGACCTGACCTTTGCATGGTCAAAGGTCATTGATCTAGGATTCTTACTTGATCTCTGATGTCGGATATATACTTCCAGTTTTGCTGACGTCCGAAAACAGCAATTTTCGAAACTTCAATGGCTCATATTACTTTTATTTGACATTTGTTGACCTTTTGACCTGAACAAAAGTTGTTGCCCCTTACGAGATATATCCGATAATATTTTCACTTTTGTTGTGCATCGTTAACTTCCGGTTCTACAGCCAATTGAAAATCGCGATTTTTAAATTTGAAGAGCTCTGTCACGTGACCTAATTTACATACGTAAAAATTTCTCTCATGTCCTTATTACACACAATATATTCTTTCAAATGATATATAAAACTTGGTATTTTGATTGAAATTGCGCTTTTTAGAATTTGAAAATTTTGTATTGACTATAGTAACTTTGCGTAATTTAACGGTGTCTATAATCCACCCACAGTCGCCATTGCGTTAAAAGATATATAACTATGTATATCTCATGATCTAATGATTGTAAACACTTGAAATTTTTAACATTATTTAACATTCTACACATCATAACAGACATATCAAAATTTTTGAAGTGGGCGTGGCACATCCGGGTCTCATTCACCTTTACCTTCAGTATTTGCAATTGTTATAACTCGCAAGTTTGCTATTGTCACCCTCAAAATTTTGCATAAAAATGACTTACTATGTGGGACAGTTAGTGGTAAAGTTATATTTGTTTGGACCTTTTACTATAAAAAAGGGAATAGGTTTAACAATTTATTAAATTTTGATATTTTGACCATTGGCATGCATGACCTTGATCTTAGCAAGGGACAATGATCTAGGATGTCCATTTATACTTTGATCTTTGATGTGCGACATATACTTCCACTTTTTCAAGTCCCAAAATAGCAATTTTTAACACTTTTAAGGCTTATATTCTCTTTTATTTCACCTTTGTTGACCTCTTGACCGTAACGCAAGACCTTTCCAAAAATATTTTCATTTTTGTTGTGCGATTTGTTCTTTACAGCTATTTGAAAATTCGACTTTTTACTTCCAAATGTTAACATCTTTTAGTACCAAATGGTATCGAATTCCTGCGTCTTTTCACAACCGAACGTCAAACGGTTAAAACGATGTTACTTTTTGAATGTTTACATGCTTTTATTTTCGGTAAGAAATCCCATTGTGACTTTAAAATGCAACGTTTTATCGCTGTATCAGGTTGGATGAGCACTGTTTCAGTACCGTTATAACGGTTCTAGTTTTTTTTTCTTTTTTCATTCTACGAAAAGTTACATTCATGACATGCAGAGAAGAAATTCAAAATAAATAGAATATCGAAACGTATATTGTCCTTAATCAAGTTCTCCATAATAGTGTATGAATTCGCTAAGGAAGTCTGATTTATTATCGGAATGGGTAAAGTTCTGGTGAGGCGTGTCAAAAATCCTTTTCCCAGCTTTATTGTGATGCTTAAGCTGGTTCAAAGCAGCCTCGCTGGTAAGCGGCTCTCCTAGTTAACGGCTGTGTTGTTATAGGTATAGATGGTTAGCATCTATTCGTTTAGGATGTTGAAATGTTTTGGTTGCCCCTTTAGGAGTACGGGCTGTGATTCATTCAAAGCAGCTGGTTGAGTTTGACAGGGCAGAATCTCGGTTACTTGTGGTGATGATAAGAATCCAGGGTATCTATGGTAATGGCGGAACAGGAATCTGGGGTACCTCTGGTGATAACAGAACAGAAATCAGGGTTACCTGTGGTGATAACAGGGCAAGAACTGGAGGTACCTGTAATGGTGACAGGAATTACTCTGTGTTGGGGCGCTTTGAAAAGGTGTGAATTTTCAAAACTGCTGGTTTACTCTACACTTGGTGTATTGCCGTCCGGTTTCCTACTAAGTTTTGTATATAGGCATGATCTCAAACCTGTTTAGGAGGCAAGCGATTGATGTCTTCATTCCGCCATTCATGACGTTTGGCAAGCGCCATCTCTCGATGAGATCAACCTAGTCCATGTTTCGTAACAAGGATGGGTATAATTAGGATCAACGCTGGGGATGCGTTTGTCTCTGAGCCGAATCCTTAGTGGGCAGCATGGAGTGCATTGAGTATAAACACTTCCCGTGAGATCTACACCATTCACTGTGCATTAATTGACTGCATAGGACGCAAGTCTTTGCAATCTTCAGGAAACCCTATCTCTTGATGAGATTTAAAAATGTAGGGTCTGATGCTGTGGCCTCACGGACCTATCTCAAGTAAAGTCTGGTAACATAATTCAGGGCACTAGTGGCAGCAGGAACTGAGAGTGCATCATTAGCACCTTTTGCCTGATACGTGAATGATTGTGGATTCTTCTATGAGGTTGAAAAGTCATCTGGTATCGATATCTGTGAGTGATCTATCGCACATCATCTGGAGTAGTGGTCTATGGTCAGTGCCGACAAAAGGTCTTTGCAGCCCAAAACAATGTACAATGTAGTGTGTTTTGTGAAGTGCATATACGATAGCCAAGGCTTCACCTTCAATAGGGCATTCCTGCATATCTGTGCTTTCAGCGAGGAAGGTGCAGGATCTGAGTTTATCTAGCCATTGCACCTCGTTTATTTGCGTCTGAATAAATTGTATCATTGAAAACAGTCCCTATCCTAACCCGACAAGGTGTATATGTCCACTGACAGCTTTGATTTTAAATACAAATTTCAGACATACACTTCTTTTGAACTTTTTGAGGCGATACAGAATAAGTTTTTATTAGGTGTAAGAATAATAAACGCAAATAGTAGATAAATGTCTCCTACCTATTCTAGATGTTTCTAATAATATCAAGCGGTTACAATGCCGAACTGCTCAATAAACTAGTAGGCCTACGCTCCTTTTTTAATTAAACCTTATAACACAAATTCAGTTTGATCTAGTAGATACATAGATATAAATAGTATACTTTAGAAACATTTTCAGGTATAATTTATGAGGTTTTTTATAATGAATATTTGCGAATTGTATGGGAAGGATCCTCATGACAAACCCTATACTTACAATAATGAACTAAAAGCTGATAAGAATGAGGGTTTTTTGATGAACCAAGTCGAGTTCTTTCCGACAGAAATTTATAATCTTAGGACTGTATTGTGATGATTATGTGGCAAAAATAAACCAGTAAAAGATTTCACAGTCAATATTATGTTTCGTTTAGTGGGCCTAAATTGTATAAAAGAAGATTAGATAACAATTCTCCAAGGACAGTATAACAAATAATTTTCTACTCTTGGAAAGTTGGAAACAAAGCCAAACTAAGCCAAGGTATAAAATACAAAGACATACGTACACCTATGTACCACTTGTTTATTGATAAAAGACACCACGATTTACATTTTATTTTGATTTTGTCGATAAACACTCATATACAGAGTTTACATTTCATACAACTTCAAATACAGCCTCAGTGTCACCATAAGCCATGAAATTACAAACGACCATTATTTCTTCATCACTTACACTTTCAATTAGTGGATGAAGAGAGCGAGTCTCTAGATATATGACGTAAACATTGCGAGTTTCACAGGTTTTCTAGAAAAATATAAAACAGAAAATTGTTACAAGAATAATAAAATAAACAATCTTTATCCTATAGTCTAATCAAAATAAAAGTCAAATATAATTCGAAGAACAAGAAGTAGCGATTAAAAGTTAAAACTAACGTTTAATCTCATTTAGAGTTCATTCTTTTGCGTTAATAATTTCACCAAGTTTCGTTTAATACTTAAAAAAATTTTTCGGCGAGCGATCGTAGTTTATCCAGTTATATGAATTTTTGTTGAACTTACTATAAATCCACAGGGATCGGTTAGGTTAAACGGGATTTCTCTTGAGAAGATTCCATGGGATGCAGACTGAAACATGCAGTTCGTAATATCCTCAAATCTGTAGGCAAACACTGCAGCCACATCTCCATAGTAATAAATAGTCGCAGGATTATTTGGAGGATTACCACACACCACCTCGACTAAAATATTAAATAATATAATATGTAAGCATACGCCTGCTGTTAGTTGTCAGAAACGTGACTGTTTTTTTATTAACTAAAATCCACATTTTCTCATATAAAGGTATTTTATAATGCATTGGAGCTAAAAAATAAAATTTTCAATGCATTATCATCTCTTAATTTTTTAAGATATCAAACATTCCTCGAAATTATTTTAAATCTATAGCAATTACCAAAATACATCAAATTATCAAAACCACACTGCTCTTTAATCTTAAACAATGTTAAACGAATTATTGACAATTTCGATCACAACTATTCATCTTGGCAGAGATATAATCGATAAGATTCATCAAGTTCAGAAAAAAATTGAGATTACTATAGTGTCCAAAAGCCAACCAAATTTAACACGATTTTGCTTGGACAATAACTCAAAAACCGTCCATCCAATAATGAACAAATGAACACATTGTTTCATCAAGATCAGGTAAAAAAGTGAGCTTATATCGTTTCTGAAAAAATATTTGGCTAGACAGACGGCAGTATCTCTCTAAAATTCATATGGTCGTATAAAAATACAGAATTGAAAGTTTCATTCCCTTTTTTTCTGCATACATACACATATACATCTATCTACCTATGGACTAAAACGTAGGTCTATTGCACTCTATACTGTAAACGAGTAAGCGTATTTTGTTTTTTATGTTCTGAATGCTCATTCAAGTTAACTTATCGAAAAATGTTAATCGAAAAATAATGAACGAAAAGTACCAAAAACTTACATCTACCCGCCAAAATTCGACCAACACAACATGCCTACAAAAAATATCACAACGTACATATATATATAATATTAATGAATAAGGAAACAAATATTGGTGAAAATTAGGTGATAATTCCTGTAAATTTTCATTAAAAACTTTAATTTTCAGTAAGGTGATAATTATTTTCTTGATTTTTCTTAACAAGATTCATTGAATTATCACCTAGGTGAAAACTAAAGATTTTAATTGAAAATTAAAGGGATTATTAAGTAATTTTAACCCAGGTGAAAATAATAATCAATTCAAAATTAAAACTGAAATATGTCGTATGTGCGCCACCGTACGGTGATTGGTTTCAACGTTCTCGTGTACAACTAAACATTAGCTTCAGTGATATATAAGCTACTCTCAGACTGAACTTTGAATTGAAATATTTCTCTCACTTCATAAATAATCAAAATAAAATTTTCAATTGTATGCCATTAATCTTAATCTTCAGGTCCATAGAAATATAAGGTTCAGCGATTTTACATTTCAAATCTAATAGATACAATTTCCTCCTATAAATTTGCGTGAATATTGCCTACTTTTCTGACTGAAAATGCCCCTCTGTAAAATCATATTTACAAAAAATAACCTTTCTGGTTGTTGACATTTACATCAAACCAAGGCAATCCAATACTCTCAGTAGTAATTTGAAGCTGATATTTTAATTCATACGAAAATGATTGCCAAAATTCAATTCAGAATAACAGTAAAGTCAGAGAGTAAGCTATATCTATATCTTTCACTTATCATTTTCCAGACAATTATGCGATTTCTCTGAGCAAAAAAAAAAAAAAAAAAACCGACTCCAAACCAAAAAAATACTTACCAATTGAAAAGCGATAATAAATAAATCAAATTTCATGCTCTTCCCATGGGTTACTAGAAAATAAAAATACAGCCTACATGGATCGAATTTGGATGCAAAGTCACTCTAATATTATTAGTACTATTCTGAAGTTTTTATTCAAATTCGCCTGGGCAAAATTCGATATACCAACGAACTTGATCTATGAAGAAATAGTTGAAATATGATTCTGAAAGTTTAGTGGTTTGAAATATTGTTTCTAGAATTGGTTTCTAGAATTGATTTATAGAATTTATAGAATATTAAAATTTTCATGTCATTTAACAAATATCCAAATGTAAAATTTTCAATAACATTTCATTTGTCTTACATCTAATGTCCTCCGATACATAAAAATGGAGGGTTTTATGATATTTTAAGGTACATTTTATTTTACATGCTAAAAATGACAAAAGCAGTTTTTTCAATGGGGGGTTTGGGCCTTAGATACCTCGACTCAAAATATGACATGACTTGTTAAGATCAGAATTTGCCAAATCAAAAATTACATTACCACACGTACTCAATGAACTATGAACAATGAAATATTCTGTCTAAAAAAAACGAAATGAGAGGTTTACTAGCTTCACAATATCTGGTTTATACAGTGGTGTAACCTATTTTCGTGGATATAAGGATTCAACACCGAATTTCGTCAAATTTTTTTTTGTGTCTTAGATGTTTCTTCAGATATTCTACAAAATAATCAAAATTGGTTTATTTCGATTTTCTTTATGAATCTTTCACTTTGACTGACCCATATTTCATGAGCAATGCGTCACCTATTTTCGTGTACAATGTTTGATCTATAAATAAGTCTAGAAAAACACGTTGTATGGATACCGGGTGGTATAATTACCTTCTCTTAGTATTTATCTTTAATATCAATTCATTATAACTAGTGACAATTCCTTCAAAGAACCACGATTTAAAAAAAACAATAGTGACTGACAAAATAAGATACGTAGCGTGATTTATTGCTAAAAGTCACTGAAACAACATAATAGGACCCACACTGTGTTCCATAGAAATTTTCTACTGACACGGAATATCCGCTAGTTGATCACATGACTTCATTCCTTGGACTACATTCTAGCAGACGACACTTGGAATTCCGATTACCGCTTGGGATTATATGGAAATTCGGCCGATAGAAAATGGTGACGTTTGGTAATAACTGAAATCCGCCATTTTGTATTTGTCAAAGTATACATTAATACATTTTACCTCGCCTGAAACTACTGGATTCATTCTACTAGCTGATATTGTGCAGACAACCCATGTTTATCAAAACAAGCTAATGCGGAGGTCGCGCAAGGTCGCCCATGTAAATTATTAAACACTTCCGGAAACCCACGAAAAATAGGTTACCACGAAATTAGGTTACTTGACTGTAAACACAGAGTAAAAAACATTGCATCAATAGCTTTGAACACAAAAATACAATATCTCGATCTTACTTTCTGACATTAACCATCGTGATTCGAGCTATCCAGCATTTTCTTCAGACTTGTCACATGGTGGACACAAAATGGCGGACAGCAGCTGTCAGTCCCACTGGATAAAGTGACAGAAAAATGCATGTCACCTTTCATGATGTTATTGAGGTGAAATCAAAACAACTGTATGTAAAAGATAGTTATTCGCCCTTTCCTCCCATATAATTACTCCGATTTTGCTACCTCAAATTTATTTTTTAAAACAACAGAGATGTACTTTGTTTACAAATCGTCTTGGACGTTTGATCAAATAAATCTCGAAATCAGAAAAATTTATCATATTTTTTGAAAATATTCTCAATTTTCGCGGGGAAGTGATTAGGTTCCAGCTAGTACCTGATCGCGTTTTTTCAAGCGAAGTTCTGTAAAACTATAAAGTGTCACAGGTTGGTTTTTTATCTAATACAACAGTGTGTTCAGTGTGATAATGATTAAGTATCATCCATATCCGATAATTTATGAAAAGGTAAGTAGATAGTTTTTATTAGGCTCCCTAGGACTGTCAATAGATATCACGTGAGAGGCAAGCCATAGATACCGACCAAATTCTGTCCTATAAAAAAGTTTTTTTTTCATTCCTTAACAATTTTTATGTTAAAAAATATGTTATAAATTTGTTAAGATTAAGAAATGTAAAAATTTATATCTTCACATGAACTTTCTATGGTGATACAGGCATGTCACAAGCACAGACCAAAAGAAAAAGGAATTCATAAAAAATTTCTCATACTTTGAGCAAACCTGTCAACTAGGCGTATTATAACACTTTATTTCATTGTACTGTTTATTTCGGCTGTACTGAAAGTGGGAATTATATCGGCTTCTCCCTGTTTATCTCTCCTTAGGTATTAAAAAGCTAAAAAGATACATGGAAAAGTTTTTTAGATGATGTATGGTTGGTTGTGGTATAGTCATACTCATAGAGTCAAGAACGTCTAATCGTTTTTTTTTTGTACTGTCAAGTACTGAAGTTGAAATATAAATAATGTTACTGTTTGAAGAGAAATAGTGCAATACTGAAGGAACAAACAGATCACCATACACTGAATGAAAAAAGTAATCCTTGGCTGCCATGTGATGAATTTTGAAGGAATTTGGAAGCAAATTACAAGTAAATGAGTTATATAGTTTTAATCACTATCTCACCATAACTAATGTGAAAATGTGTAGCTAGTAAATACCTCATTTTTTGACACTTTATGGACAAGAATTCATTTCTAAGTGATTTTCTTTTTTAAAGAAAACAGCATTGCGTATGTGATTGTGTAACCTATGGAAGGTTTTAACATCAAAATATAGGATGCGTAATTGTTCAGTCAAAAAATAAAAACTTGGTCATTACATCCAAAATGGAGGTTTGGAAGTGAAATGATATTTTTCTTCATTGATTGGAATTTTCATCAAACCAAATTCGTTATAAGACTATCAGTTTTATTTTGTAGATAATATTTCCATTCGTACAAAAATAATTATGAAAATACTATTCTGTAAACATTATCATCAAACAGAATATACCAAGCTTATTCATTTACAACCCAAAAAAAAAGGTTAAAAAGTTGTGATAAAGTGTGATCAACAACCTATAAATAGTCGAAAGTAAAAATATTTATGTACCTTCCAATATACTGGGATTCAAAAAGAACCCATAAAAATGTCGGCCGTCTGTACCAGCTTCACTACGTAAAATTTGCACGTGCATAAATTGGCCTATTTTCATTGGACGAGTTTGATTTACAAGTTGATTTCGTTCCGATAGTCGTGTTGTTCATAAAAACAAAATTTGTGACCTTTCGATGTTCAAATAATACAGTATACATTTAAAGTGTTGTCAATTATTACAGAGTTTTTTTTAAAGAAATACCCTAAAATTGGATTGTGGAATTATTCATTCAGGTTAAAACCTTGATCTCATTCACTTGTGAACAACACTTGACCCGGAAGTATCAATCCAGTTCAGCCTGTAACTATTCTCCCACAGTTGTTGATAAAGGTTGTGAGAAAGAGGCAGAAACATCAGGTCGGTTGAACTTAGCATTCAAATGTTTTTCACACAATTTCACATTGTCTTCATTGATTTTAAAAGATATTCCAATCTAAAGCTTCAGATTAAAATTATTTTGTTTCAGTTGAAATGATGGGCCGAGCTGTCAGTAGTCTTATAAATCTCTTGGTAAGATGGTATATTTTATTTATACATAGTTATTTATATATTTAGTTATATATATAGTCAAGTAACCTAATTTCGTGCATCTCCGGAAAGGATTAAGAATTTACATGTGCGACGTGGCGTGACATCCGCATTGCTTGATTTCATAAACAGGGGTTATCTATACAATGTCAGTAGTAGAAAGGAATCCAGTAGTTTCAAGCAAGGTAAAATGTATTAATGTATCCTTTGACAAATACAAAATGATGGATTTCAGTTATTACCAAACGTCACAATTTTTTATCGGCCGAATTTCCTTATAATCCCCAGCTGTAATCGGAATTCCAAGTGTCGTCTGCTAGAATGTAGTCCAACGAAAGAAGTCACGTCGTCAACTAGCAGATTCAGTGTCAGCAGAAAAATTCTATGGAACACAATGTGGGTCCTATTCTTATGTTGTTTCAGTGACTTTTAGCAATAAATCACGCTACCTATCTTATTTTGTCAGTCACTATATTTTTTTTAAATCATGGTTCTTTGAAGGAATTGTCATTAGTTATAATGAATTGATATTAAAGATAAATACTAAGAGAAGTTAATTATACCACCAGGTATCAATACAACATGTTTATCTCGACTTATTTATAGATCAAACATTGTACACGAAAATAGGTGACACATTTTGCCGCCGTTGTCGAGTTGGTTACTCATGAAATATGGGTCAAAGTGAGGGATTCATAAAGAAAATCGAAACAAACCAATTTTAATTATTTTGTAGAATAACTGAGGAAACATCTAAGACACACAAAAAATTCCTTTTTTTAACTTTGACGAAATTTGGTGTTGAATCCTTATATGCACGAAATTAGGTTACACCACTGTATATATCAATACTCTGTCAAATCTGGTTTAGTATTGAAAGAATAGGACTATATATACGGAATACTAAATAAAAATTATTAAATGACTATTTATTTATTACAGATACCATGCATTCCTCTGGTATTGGGAAAGAGTAAGTAGTCCATATTTTTCTTATTGTATATTTCCCATTTAGTTTCCATCAAACCCAACTATTTCATTTGTTGCTTTTCATTTGTGCTTATTTGTTTGATCGGATAATTTGTCAACTATTTACAGTGTTAACAGTTTCTCGATATAATCTCATAATCTCAAATATAAGGATTACTTGAAATAGCTGAAATTATATAGACATAGCTCGTACACGCTACTATTCTGAACAGTTTCAGTTTTTTTATGAGTATATGTTTATAGCACCCCTGTTTTTAGTGCGGAGACCTGATGTACAAAATTTTAAACGTAATTCAGACTTAAAGAGAAATAATAATTAGATTTAAAATGAATTTTAGTGAGTGACTATTAAGATAACTACTGTCTGACCACATATAGAGCTTTCAATTGAATTTTTTTCTCGTTTCATACTATATAAAAATAAATACGATTTGTCTAAGAATTTCTTTGTGCATAGAAATATACGGTTTATTAATTCTACATTTAAAATAGACACACTTCCCTCATAGAAAATTCGATGAAAATGACCTTCTTTTCGGCCTGAAAATTCCCCTCTGACAAATCAGATTACGAATAATAAATTCTCTAGTGGTTGACATATTTATCAAACCATAGGCAGTCCAAGACTCTCAGTAGTATTTTGCAATTGATATTTCAATTCAGATCAAATTGATTGCCAAAATTCAATTCAGAAAACAGTGTAGTCAGAGAGTAGCATAAAAATCGTAAAGATTTTGTGAAATTTTAATCAATGAGCATCAACAGTACTTGATATGTCTTCCAAGCTATGAAATTTTGTGAAGCTTTGGCATAGACACTCCATGGTCACTTTTAAAAAACTCTGATTTATGATTAACTTTGGTGTATTATTTTTTATCTCTAATATTAAATATATATTACAGTGGCAGTTGATTGTGGATCTCTATCTACTGGACCAGCAACTTTACGATTTGTTGGTAACGTTCACTCGCTTAAAGGATACGGTGGCGGTGGCGATTGCTCTTTTAATGAAGACTTTGAACCAGGGACGTTTACTCTCAAAGTTGGTTACGAGGCTTCACAAGGGCATAGTTGTCTGTTTAAGGTATAATTGTCTCATCGCTATTGTCTGTTTAAATATGTCTAATCTCTAAAATGGATATCTCTATAGCGTTCTGTGATAATAAGGGTGTTAGATCTCTATTGTCTGTCTAAGGTATAGGTGGTAAAGATGTCTGGTCTTCATAGCTGTCTGTTTAGTCGGGAATAATTTCGCCACTGAAAATCGTTTTCCATGTAGGTTCAAATCCTAATCAGATTTATTTATTAAAAAAAGTTAATGATACAAGACGTGAAGAACGTTAAAACGCTATATTTTGAGCTTTTATGTCATCACTCAAAAATTATGAGTAACTTCATTATATTATGAGGAGTTTTAAAGCCACACTTGAAGTAGTAGTCTAAAGTTGGTATCAAACTTCTAGACCGTTTGATTAAATGATTTTTTTTGTATTTATTCATTCTTTCAGAATATCGAGATGGGTAGCTATGAAATGAAGATAGATTCGCATACTTATGAATTTCTGGAAATCGATGGTGACCTAAAGTTTGTGGTTGTATGTTCTTTTTCAAAGTTCAAAGATGATGTTCTACGGGAAGTTCCGTTAAAAACTGCGTAAGTTATCGGATAAGGTGGATCACAGATGAAATCCTGTTTGAAAATGTCCACTAAGAAGTATTTTGTGCGTGACAGAATGTCAGTTTCCAAGGTCAGCTCAACGAAACAGCAATTCTGAAAAGATCAACCAGAGTAGTTATACTACTCAAGTTATCTAAAGTTTTGTATGCAGAGATAGACTAAATCCAACTCAATGATTCACTTGATCTGTAGGGGTCAGTAGTGTTTACTACTTCGAACGCAACACAAATCTTAATGGAAAAATACTATTCTGCACCATAATCAAGTTCAGTAGTAATTTAACCCCTTTTTTACAGTTTGTCAGATAACCTACCAACATAAACCATCACAGATATAACGAATTTTTTCTCGGTTCTGACTATATACTATTAAATGTTTTATATATTACAGGTTTTTACCACCAAATCTACTAGTGTTTCAAATGGGTCGACGTACAACGTCAACTTTTGCCATCTTTCCAAGTGACATTTTTGATAATGTGATAAGAGGAAAAATATTAGAAGGGCGTGTTGTGAAATTAAGAACTCATATGGCAGGTAATCGGATTTTTTTTTCAAAAGCGTTAAGTCTATATTCTGCTGTTTTACCGTTTGTATTTTATCATATTGTTTCAAAAATTAAACAAGAAAATTTGATTTAAAATCCTTTTTCGATTTCACACTCATAGATAAAACTTTATTTTTTTCACGAGCAGCGAGCAATGTGGAAACAGGAAGAGGTTATATTCCCTTAGTTTGCACGGTGGGTAATGCTGACTCTTCAGTGTTGGTGCCTATTTTAGTAGACGGGTGAGCACCATAATTGTATTACTACTGAATAAACTAAAACTATTTTAATTGTGGAATTAGCAACTTTAAAATCCTCTACCTTTGAAAGTACGTTTTTAACGACAAGAAATATTTTTTTCCAAACATTGAAATCGATAGTAAACATAAAGCACTTTCCTTGCACACTTTTATTCATACCGCACGACAAGGCATCGACTTTATTAGCCAAAGAGTGTGTATGTCGTTAAACTCATATCATTTATTCTTTTTCGTTATACCTAATCAAAGGTGTGGTACCGGTTTTCCATGGTCATCAGATGAAGGGTTTGAAATGGAAGGACCCTCTGGAATGAGCCCATTATTCAGGATGTTTCGTATAATGCGTGATGAAAGTGCAACTTTCCGCTGTTCCTTTATTGTTTGTAATGGTGCTTGTGATGGAGTAAGTATTCCTCTCTTAGCTTACTACCGTTGAACTAATTTCGATGTTCGGTTTTTGTGTCAAACGTTATGGCTTCTTTCATTCTGGTTTTGTTCAGAATGATATTATATTTTAGAGATTTAGACACTTTTCGAATAACCGTGAGAGGGGCTTAGTTATTTCAGTTATTGATAAATAGTCTAACATTTTTGTTACCTTTTATTTTTAGAATTCTTGTGTAATTCCCGAAAATCGACGAAAACGATCTTTGCAACACCACAACATTCACAATGCAACATTTCAATTTGAGGTGGAAACATCTGCACCATTGACAACGCATCCTTCGGCATCATTAAAGGTATTATAGAACCCGAATAAACATCATAGTGGTTCACTACATGGCAATAAAAACATTTCATCTATTTGTTACTTTTCATACGTGTTTTAGTCTGAGGTAGAGCTCAGCTAACTGAAAAATAAAATCCGATTCGCCTGAATTTCAACCGAAATATACCATGGTAGATAGACTATATTTACATCCAGGCATAATAGTACCGGTATGCTATTGTTGGTAACGGCCTGCATATTATTCGGTAGTCTAATCTACTGGTAACGTACACGTGTTCAAGATATCATTATCTCATCACTTATGTTGGTCAGTTTTAATCTTTTTTATGGGTATGCATCCATCTTTGAGTTTCAAATTTGTATGTTGGTCTGTAAAAAAATTCTGTTGGATCGACAGAGACTATTTAAGTTATAGACGGTTATGCGTATCGATATCTCAAGGAGATTAATGTTTTTGGAAAGCTTGAAAGGCGAGGTAACATATATCCACTTGAAGCTTTATCTAAATTAAGATATGTGTAGGAATAGAAACATTAAATGTGTATAAAATCAGCCTACAGCATATTGTTTGTTGTACAACAAACGTACTTTGAAGACCAAGAAACATGAACTGGGTTCCTTCTAGTCGACGTATATTTTTTTGGCATGAACTAATTACCTTCGGATTTTCAACCCGGTTTACTCCTGTCAGGTCCTCAACAGTTGAAAATCGAAAAAAGAGCAATCTATTGCCGCTGTCCTGGCAAAAAGTTCCCTCATAGCACCATGCATGGCGTTGCTCGTCTTCATTAGCTCACATGGTGAAGAAAAATAGGACGTGAAACTCCATTCCAGTTCCAGGGGCATGAACGAAAATAGAATGGGGTTGAGGAGATTGTCTTTAAGGGCAATAACTCACTCCAAATGTGTTAAATTGCTATCAAGTTCACTCTTGACTATTTCGCCAAATTTAGTAAAATTTATAATAGAGCTGTGTATCTTATTGAAAGATTTTATAATTTAAAAAAAATCAAGAATTATCGTCGAGAACTAACTCATATCGTTCAATGACAATATAATTCATCTGCGAGGAAAGAAAATTTCTTCAAGAAACGTAGAGGTTTTCTTTTATGTGTATCGGGGATTCTATTTGGTGCATTTCAATTAATCGTCAAATGCAAATGCCTGTGGTTCATATAATGTTGTGGTCTGGTGGAAGACAGGACAGGTAGAATTACAGGAACCAGACATCGAACAAAGAATTGGAATATCTCAGTCAAGGTCTCCCCGATACACATAAAAAAGCTAGAAAATCTCTTGAAGTCGACGTATTTTCAAAATTTAAGAAAAATAAGTTTACAAAAAAAGTTTAGACAATTCGAGTAGAATAATGCTTCATCACAGTTACACTATTTAATTTACTGACAGACATGGGCGACAATATTTGTTCCATAATTAATATAAATGGAATATCTAAGATGTGTGTCAAACCAAGGACATGGCCTATACAAATATGCTCTGAAAATAACTCCCCGTTTATGTCATCATACAATAACCCAACTCTTATGGACAAGTGATAGGAACTGATAAATCTTTGTGATGTAAAAAGTAATTTCAGTAATAACCTGTAGCAAATGAGCAGTGTTCTGTAAGAGAAATCATACCAAGGAGGGCTTCTTGCATGGTAGCGTATATCCCTACAGCCCCCACCACTCTATAGTGCAACTTTTACAAAACACTACGGATGCAAAACACACATTGTCTGAAAAATTGGCCAGGGCATGCCCAATTCTATGCATGATTAGAACTAGTGCAACTAATGAATAACAGTTTTTAAAATAAATTTTATATATTTTTAACAACAGATACACTGTCCATAGTTGTTAATGGTGATGATGGTGGTGCGTCTGCTGTTGGTAATGACTTGGTGACAAGAGATTGAAGAAGGGCGAGAACTCGTCGTGTCATTGCTATCATAATTATAGCCAGAAACACACTGAATCCAACACTGATGCCAAGAATGAGCCAAATACTGGTATCAACACGTTTCGTCAATTGTGGTGGTGATATATCATCATGTAAAGTTGATGTTTTCGGGACCATAGACGGCTTTGAGTTTGATTTAAACATGTCATCCCAATCTCCTACCAGGGATTCATCGTTAAAATCAATCTTTGTTTCGGCTTTACCTATGCTTGCGTCGCTTTGAGCTAATTTAAGGAAGCTTTCTGGTAATCGCTCCGTTTTTTCGCTTAGTCTTATCTAAAACAGAAAATTTACAATTTTACTATATTAGGCTACTTTACAGTAGTCCTAATAGACCTGAATTTTATGGTTATTAAAGAGACATTCCGCTTTTTTTTGTAGGTCAAAATATTTTATTGCTTAATTTTGTGAAAACTATACAACAAAATATGTGTCCCTTAACGTGCCTGAAATTTTAAATTAAAAAATTAAGCCGTTAATATTTTTGAACGCAAAAACTATCTAAAAACATTACGTTAGGTTTTCAAATGCGTTATGGGTTTGGGTAGGTGGAAGAAAACTACTATACGAATTTAAGCAAAATAAACGCCAAATTGTAGATAAATATGTTTCCTACGTATTCGAAGGGTTTTAAGGAATAATATCGCGCCGTTATAATGCCAAACACTAAAGCTTCATATTGCTTAATAATCAATTAATAATTAATAATCTCTGTTTTTAATTAATCCTTTTAAAACAAATTCAGTTTGATCAAATAGACACACGCTATTTATATAGCATACTTTAGAAATATTTGCAGGTATAATTTATGACGTTTTTGATAATGAAAACGTTTTACAAAAATAGTGTAATGTCCCTTTAACATGACGTTCTTTATAACACAAGCTTAATCTGTATCGTTTCTATTTCCATTGATTCTACCTAAAATAAAGTGGACTGTTTGTGTTTATTTTATTATATTTGCATGATTATATCAGTGTTGTATCAGTATCTTATAAGAAAATATGGAATCTCACTTGTGATGTGGACAGTTGAATATTTGAGCTGCTATGATTAGATCTGGACTGTATGATATCATTGTCGATTTCGGGGTTGTTATCAGTGACTAATATATCATCTTTTGATAACCATTTAGTTTTGCCATCTAAACAAACAAAACAATATGTATTTCTTTAAAATAAATATACCTCTCGGTGCTCGTTCGGGTCTCGTTTAATTTGAGAGAAATGTCAATGTAATATATTTAATCAAATTGATCTAATTCTTATCATTGTAGATAATGAAGTAGATAATGAAAGAACTGCCTTCACCTTATTTTGCCGAGAAAAGCAACTGTTATTACTATTCACATCGGATAGATAAATTGTGGTTACTTTAAAGGGTGTAATCTGATTATATTTCCATGAATATTATACTATATCTCATATACTGAGAAGTCTCACCCCTCCCCCCCCTCAAAAATGATTTTATGAAACGAGAAGGTTTTGGCCTTAAGAACAATATAAGAAGAATTTTTTTTGTATGGCGAGCTGGGGACGTAGCAACTGCTGCTGTCTGGTTTCCGTCAGAAATTGAAATTCCTAACGCCGTAGGCTAAAATAACGACAAACATAATATTATACCAAATTTACTTACTGGGAAGAACTCTCACATATCTCACTTCTCTTCGTCTTCTCACAGAGGCATTAGGACAAGAATCCTGAAAATAATCATTCAGGATTAAATATCACAAACTGACCTATCAAAACAATACCAAAATACAAATCTTCTTCGTGTGATGTAAACAACATCTTTACAGTGTCAATTTACTAACTGCGTTTTATACCCTGACTGCAATAGCCACCTTATGGGGAAATTTTCCTCGTCTTTTTTACCCTCGCTTTCTCGCCTTTTTCCTCGCTATGTCGTTTCTTAATGCTATGACATATCAATGTTCTGATCACGTGATCTTTACTTTAGGCTGAAAGTCAGTATCTATTGTGTGTTCAATTTGTGTGTTGATAACGGCTCGGCATCTTTGGTACATGGAGTGGCACAAACGATTTACAGACGCCATTGGAATCTGAGTTCTGCTGCATTTGTTGAAAGCGGTTAGATCTGGTTTAGTCTCTTTGGATGTCATCCCACAAGTGTTCTATTGGGTTTCTGTCCGGGTTGAGTGAGGGCTATGGCATTACTCTGATGTTATGCTATTGGAGGAAGGTTCTGGTGGCAGTTTGTAAACGGGCATTGTCATGCTGGTAGTTGTGGGTTCGGCGTCTTGCAAAATGCGGAACAACGTGAGGTCGGAGAGCCTGGTCGATGTAACGGGCGGCTGTGACTACCTGGTCTTTGCCTGGGCCGATATTCTGGAAGATAACAGGTCCAAGTTAATGTTTGGTCCTCCCCACGGGTCTCTTTCAATCAGCCACCACACACTGTTCTGTAAAACCTCCACCTCTGCCATCTACAGGGGAAATACAGTACCGACTCTCATCTGAGAACACATGGATCCTCCACTGCTGATGCCGCCAATGTTGTCGTGTTGCACGTGCATTTTGATTTTTCCCTGCATCACTTACAACTTGCTCGCGCGGACATCTGACAATTCCCACAAAGATTAACAACTCTTAACCGACATTATCAGTGGAATGTCACAAACTGACCTTTTTAAAGTCTAAAAATCATATTTGTAAGGAAAAAGAGCAATATTGATCGTGCACGACTTTGTACAAATAATCTAAAAATGCGACGTTTCTTTATCTGTTCAGTATAGAACGGTGGCATAGGAAGATCGAAAAAGCTTGACATTGTGAAGATGGTTAATAACAAGATAAAAACATATTTTAGATTGTAAATTTCGATGATACTCTAATACATGAAAATATTGCAATACTTACCCCGTCGCAATTACTCTTACAAAGCGCAAACGTACAGTCAAACGATAAAGTTTTGGATCCTCGTATACGAAAAGAGCGAAAATATGGACTGGTAACCTTTTTGCCTTCTGTCTTAAAACCTTTGTTTCTGGCCACAATAATACCATCTCCACATCTGTAATATATGATAATCTATTAATCTTTATAGTGTTCAACACAAAATCATTCCAATCAGTCCAAATATATGTTTTGGGTAATACACAAGTCTTGTGGTTTGGGAAGACTTAAACTTCTTGTAGAGCAATCTGACGTACATTAAGATATTTGAGTTCAATGAAAAAGTTTGATACATACCCACCAAGAAGTAAAGCATACTCGTCATTATTTGATACTGCTTTACAAGATATAGCCTGAAAACTCTCTTCACCAGGAATGTCACCTAAAAATATAATATATTACCTTGTCATGATTTCCTGCATAAATATACACTTAGAAATAGATTTTTTTCTGTAAAAACGAGGTTCGTGGGTGGCTAGGATGGCTCATCGACTACCTAGGGATCAGTCGTTTATTTGCCTTAAGATTGTCTTCATTACAAGAATGCCCGGATTAAACCATGGTGTACCTTTTAGTTCTGCTACAATACGAATTGAACTACCCAACGCCACTCCAGCAGTAACCCTTTCTTGTAGAATATTTTCTAAATACAGATCTACATTGGAATCACCCACTTTACCCATAGTATGGAGCGACTCTTCAATAGGTTGAGCTCTAGAAAACAACAACAAAATGTATAAAACATGAGAAAGCACGTCAATCTGGAACCAGATCAGTTTAATAATTACATACATTATTTCAGCTGATCACAGATGAATTGTGGGTGAATGTTCGTTTAATTACATTCTTGTTGTTGATATTACTTACGAATCTGAGAAAATTGTCGAGTCTGATATTTCTTGGCTAGTATCTTCAAACGAACACATTACTAGATGTGGCAAATCTTCAGATGTAAAAATACCACCTGCTAGCGGAACATACACCTCCAGGGTATAAATCTCACCACTCTCGGCTTTCTAAAATATATTAAGCTTAATTTTTAAAAACACATCAATTTATTATTTCAAGAACACATATACTATACGGAATGTCTGGGGATGTAATTGTACATGTTCTTACACAAAAAACATGCATTCGGAAGACAAACAGCTGAACAAAGATAATTTTTAAAGATTAACAAACCGTGAAAACGCATCCATCCAGGTCAGCTCCACTAAAACTAACATCTATCACATAGTTATCATTTGCATTAATTTCCATATAATAATATGTAAAGGGATCACGACAGTAGGCAAAAGGTAGAGTGTCCGGTATGTCAGTTTCTACTGTAATCTGCATTGTACCATCTGCTTCTTTGGGACAAACAAAATCCACTACAAGAAATATGAAAAATAACAATTTAAAATAATAAGATAAAAATAAACAAGAGTCGCAACACCAACGGCACTGAAGAAGTAGGGGTAATGGGGCTAATTGGGATAATTGGGCTAATGAAAACGAGTAACGCCATGCGGCAAGAGGAAAATTCGGCAGGACAGCGGCATTACCCTCCTCGCTTTCGATTTCAGACTGTCGAGGCATATTTAGCCTGTAGAACAAGGGATCTCAGTTTATTGTCCCATTCGAACGAATTATCGCCTTTTCCATGTCAGCCAAAGGAAATCGTGCACACCATAGAAGCTAAATCTATATATAATCTATTTAACTAATATGAATTTCATAATAGAAGCTCTACATTCATATTTAGTTCTATGTTGGTCCTTTAACATCCGTCATAAATGTTTTAAGAGGACAATCCAAATGAGATGTAATAGATAAAACAACGGACAGATATTGATTGACATCGAGTTAAAATATTCAAATTCCCAGCACAATCTAAAAGCACGTAAATAATGATTAGCTTTTTTTACCGTTTCATAATAAATATGGTTTATCACATATTTAGCGATTAGTTACCTCAATATCACAAACACAGACAATATAATGGAATAATTCAAACTTCTTTAATAAAATATTAAACACATAACGTTTCAACACAAATTACATATTTAACAAGTGTGCTTATTCTATAATATTGTCTTGTGTTTGTGAAATGAACTCCTCACTTCCGAATGTCGTTATTAAAGTTAATAGTTATCACTTAATTTTAGTGGAATGCAGGAGTCACAGACAGTCTGGTCTAAAATTGGATTGTACTAATTGATTCTGTGATCCCGATGAAAAAAAAACCTCTTTACAATTCATTAAGGGATTTGGGTACTTAAAATAGTAAACTTAAGATCTAAAGTGCCTATCTTACCATTAATGATGTAGTCTGATGCATCATATTGCGCTTCTACCACTGAACAGATTATCTACATAAATGAAATGAAAAACAAGGTGAGCATATTACATACACAATGTTTAACCATCCGAATTATGATATACAATAACAAAATAATATATAATTACTTAATTTATATCAATGAGAAAATATGTGAAAAAATTAGATTAAATATTAAGCTTCAATGAAAACATTGCATGGGTCTGAGATGAGCAGCAAATAATGCTGCTGTGAACATGTACATGCAAGATATAATTGTAAACCGAAACATCTGTCTCTATTCCAGCCTCTGATAGCTATTTGGACAGATGTCAGTTGGTGTAGACAGAAAAATATGCTCTGTTAAATGGAGGTATTCCGCATATCCGCAGATACGTTTTTTTTAAAACCTATTTGGATACCATGCATCTGCAAAACTCAGGTATATTTGGAGAAATGAATATTTTTGTTGTTCAATCATACCATCATTTCCTCCCTAAACCATTTATGTCATGTCTCCGGTTCCATCAAAGTTTTTTTGTTGTCGAAACTGATCTAGCATCGGCCATTTAAAACTGCGTGCGCAGCCAAAAGCCCTTTAACAGGGTCTTTTTCTTCTTACCCTAGGCAGATGTTTCGGAATAATATAATTGATAAGTGAGCGGCTTCATTGATAGAATATACAATGACATGACAAATACTTACCAAAATGAAAACAGCATTTATCTGTTTGTGGTGGCCTGTAAATAAAAGAAAATATATCTATTGGACATGGAAACATGATGGTAGATGGTATTCCAATTCTCTAAAAAAGTATCGAAAAAATGAAAAAACACTTTTTGATTTGCTCAGACAATAGTAAATAGTCAAAATAAAATTTTCAAGTTTATTTGACTTGAATTTCGTGGGTTCAATGTGGTTTTTATGGTACTTCCAAACCTCAGCCATTTTTTTACATGCCAAAAATGACCAAAAAGATTTTTGTGGGCCATAGATACATTGACTCAAAATATGACATGACTTGATAAGATCAGAATTTTGCGGGACTCCACCTTTAAATTACCATATGCACTCAATGAACTCAAATTTTCTGACTCAAAAAAAACAAAACGAGAGGTTTACTAGCTACACAATATGTCTTTTATAAATGGCTAACATAGAGTAAAAACATTGCATCAATGGCTTTGAACACAAATATACAATATCTCGATCTTACTTTCTGATATAAACCATCGTGATTCGAGCTATCCAGCATTTTCTTCAGACACATGGTCACATGGTGGACACAAAATGGCGGACATCAGCTGTCAGCCCCACTGGATAAAGTGACAGAAAAAATACATGTCACCTTTCATGATGTTAATGAAGTGAAATCAAAAAAACAACTGTATATAAAAGATAGTTATTTGCCCTTTCCTCTCATTTAATTACTCAGAAAAATTTTCGATTTTCCTACCTCTAATTTACTTTTTTACACAACAGGGTTGCACTTTGTTTACAAATCGTCTTGCACGTTTGATCAAATAAATCTCGAAATCAGAAAAATTGATCATAAGTTTTGAAAATATTCTCAATTTTCACGCGGACTATTTTCTGTTCGCCACTACATCCGGAAAGGTGATTAGGTTCCAGCTGATACCTGATCGTGTTTTTTCAAGCAAAGTTCTGTAAATTTATAAAGTGTCACAGGTTGGATTTTTATCTAATACAACAATTCAATGGCAATCCATAGATACCGACCAAATTGTCTTTTACAAAAATGTATTTTTTCATTTCTTATGTTTTATGTTTTATTTTCCATTTGTTACACCCTATAAATTTGTTCAAATTACGAAATGTACAAATTAATGTCATGACATGAACTTTCTATGGTGATACAGGCATGTCACAAGCACAGACCAAAAGAAATAGGAATTCATATAAACCTCCCAACTAGGCGTATTATAACACTTTTTTTTAAAGTAGGAATCATATCTTCTTCTCCTTGTTTTGAAATTATTTCTGGCATTCTGCTTTCAATTTTTTTTTAGGCCTACTGCTTGTATAGACAATACAGAAGAACATTAGAAAAAGTGATTCAGAGCAAGATTAATATATATGATCATTTGGTCTCAAGATTGCTCAAAATTTCCAATTTGACTCTTGATAGAGATGGCAATGTATAGGCTAGTATGGTATTAATTCTATTGAAAGTTTAACAAGAAACTGTTATCCCTCCTTAGGTATTAAAAAGCTAAAAAGGTACATGGACAGATGTATTTAAGATCAAACATAATTGAGAAGTTTTGTAGATGATGTATGGTTGGTAGTGATATAGTCATATAGTCAAGATTTTTTTAACAACTTGCATCAAAATTGGAAATCCCTCTCAGCATAATATGGTAAATATAAATTTTAATATCAGAATATAATGTCCTAAATGTAAATTAATAAGTGAAGAGACATAACAATTTTATTCTTAATGGGTTTTTTTGTACTGTCAAGTTCTGAAGTTGAAATATAAATAATGTTACTGTTTGAAGAGAAATAGTGCAATACTGAAGGGACAAACAGATCACCATACATTGAAGGAAAAAAGTAGTCCTTAAAAAAAAATGGCTGCCAAGTGATGAATTTTGGAGGAATTTGGAAGCAAATTACAAGTAAATGAGTTATTTTTTTTTTAAATTACAGGAACGAGATATTGTACTCCAGTTGTATAAGAATCAAGTGATGTGTGTTTTAATCACTATCTCACCATAACTAATGTGAAAATGTGTAGCTAGTAAATACCTCATTTTTGGACACTTTTTGGACAATAATTCATTTCTAAGTGATAAGAAAACAGCATTTTTTATGTGATTGTGTAACCTATGGAAGGTTTTAACATCAAAATATGGCTTGTATGACTGTTCAGTCAAAAAATAAAAACTTGGTCATTTCATCCAAAATGGAAGGTTTGGAAATACCTTAAATGAGATTCTCCATAGATAAAATCATTTCGCCAAAGAAACAAAATACTGTTTTATTAGATATATACAATTACCCACCGCAAAACATCCACGCCATTTTTTGTTCAATCAAAATTCATAAACAGACTCCGACAAGCGAGTGACAAAAGTCCGTACGGATTCACGTGCATGAGGCTATCTATGGTCGTACTTGATTTACTATTTTAATCAAACTATTTATGCCGGATTTGTTCGTTTCTGGTCCCCAGGAATATAGAATCCTGTACGTGTTGGATCGGAAGTCAGGAGGAATGGGAGAAATCAGACAAAAGTAGCAAAAAGACAGAGAGAATCGTACATGTATGTAAAATTTCATTCAAAGCTCGAGAAAAGATTTTAAGATTTCAAGCAACAAATCAAAGATAGTCATATTACATAGAATTCACGGCTGTCTTCTGCACAACAATAAACTAGAATGTTCAGCTCAGAACGAACAGAACGCATTTAAAATGTGAATATGGGGTCATAATATGCATCCATTATACTAACTAATTTCAACATTTCTATATTTCATAAAGTTCAACCATGTTTTTCCAATGCAGTTGAACTTAGCAACTATGCTATCATATGTGATGGTATGTTTTTATAATAGCCGCCATTTCACCAGGCCCATAGCTAAAAGGGAGGATGATAGCAATGAATGGATTGCTCCGCTGAAAAAAATCTATTACATTATTAAATATAATACACCTCTATCCTCCGGATATATTACTTGCTCCCGAGAAAAAATAAGTCTGAACATTTTTTTAGCCTTTTATTTTTATCGCTCGAAAAAAGGTCAGTTCTTCACAAATGTTTTATTCATTAGTATAGATACATATTTCATCATCTAATGCAATGTTCAAAGTAATTTACAAAACTTTAAAGCGGAAGAATGCTGAAATTTTTGATCCAAAAACTGTTGATAAAATAAATCACATATTAATAAAAGTTTAGGTTTATTTGAAACTGATAACAACAATGTATTGAATGTACCTGTTCACTAATTAGATAATTTGTGATGTGAAGTAAATTGTATATATTTTCATTTTACATTTTGTTAACAATGACCTGGTTATCCATCTTTCAGGATAATTTCACAAATAAAGTTCCCTTTAACATTACAGGTTTTATCATCTAAACCACTTAGACCAGCACTATCTATTCTATAACACATACAATGTTGATTGTTTTGATAGTTATCTGGCGTACCAGGCCTAAACATATCTCGATTTACTGGTTCTCCATTGAACCAATTCCATATCCCCTCCTCGTGAGTGTCAGTAGCTCCAAGATATACAAATGCTGCTACTCCGACACCTTCAAAATAAAGGTGAACGAAGAAAGTTTAACAACATACAACTTTTAAACTGTTTGGGAGTTTACCTTTCCGAAAGATGAACCCTCGGTAATGAATGTGGCTAATTCTTCTGCCTTCTGGGGCGAGCTTCTTGATGCTTAACAGTACCAATTTTATTATGATATTGTGATAGTTATTCTGACATTCACTTATCCAGTTAATGTTATATACCATTTCGATTTGATCACAATCAACAGGATATTACCTCATTAAAGATGAAAATTAAGATAGCTTGCCAGGCTAGGTAATATGCGCCCACTGGCAGTACAGTAACAAATACCAGTATGAAATATTCAACCTTCCAAGATACACATCTTTTGACCTTATTGAGGCGATACTGAATAATATTACCAAGTTTCATTAAAATCTGACAAGAATTGGGCCTTCTAGAGTGTTTACAGGCTAAACCTTGAACGAGTTTTTCTGATTTTCAATAGGGTTTATCCTTAGGTGACAACAAACACTCACACCAAGTTTCGTCAAAATCTGTCAATAATTGAACCTTCTAGAGCGTTTACAAGCTAAAAATTTAACGCGTTTTCAAAAACAAGGGCAATAACTCATATCAATTATTTTTCGATTATTCTCATTTTTGATAGGGTTCATACTTTGGTGATTACTAACACTCACACCAAGTTTCGTCAAAATCTGTCAAGAAATGTGCCTTCTAGAGCGTTTACAAGCTAAAAATTTAACGCGTTTTCAAAAACAAGGGCAATAACTCATATCAATTATTTTTCGATTATTCTCATTTTTGATAGGGTTCATACTTTGGTGATTACTAACACTCATACCAAGTTTCAGCTAAATCGGTCAAGATTTGTGACTTCTGAATTGTTTACAAGCTAAAAATTTAACGCGTTTTCTAGAACAAGGGCAATAACTCATACTAAATATTTTTCAATTTTTCTGATTTTCGATAGGGTTTATCCTTTGGTGATTACAAACACGCACTACAAGTTTCGTCCAAATCCGTCCAAAATTATGCCTTCTAGGGTGTTTACGAGCGTTTTAGGAACAAGGGTAATAACTCGTACTAAATATTTTTCGATTTTTCTGATTTTCAATAGGGTTCATCCTTGGGTGATTACAAACAATCATACCAAGTTTCGTCGAAATCATTCAAGAATTGTGCCTTGTAAAGTGTTTACGAGCAATTGTGGACGAACGGACGGACGGGGTGACAACATTATAAAAATGCTAATACTTATATGAATAAAAAGTAAAGATTTTCTAATGACTTGGAAAAATACCAGTTTGTCTCATATTTCCATAATAAATTCATAATTAGCTATACAAAAAGAGAATTGCCAGCAGAATGCCAGTGAGTGATCGATCAAGAAAGGTCAATGGGTATTTTTTTTGTTTATACAGACTGTACATTCACGGTCATTTATGATTGGTTAAAACTCCTTATTATATGCAATAAGAACATGGTGATATGATTAAGAATACATGATGATTCATTATAAACACCAATTAATGAAATAGTTTGCTTAATTTGACACTAAAAAATAAGGAAAACTATCTTTTAAATCAAAAATTGTTTTTTTTGACTCACCGAAATGATTGACAAGATTTTGGCGTATCAGATTTAATTTGAATTGAGAGTTAGCTAAATATAATGAACCGCCATCTTCTTCACAAATAGATTCACTTTCTAGCCAAGACTTAGTTATAGAAAAGTAGAATTTATAACAGAAACTTTCATTGTAAACACACTGGTAATCTGGTGGAATTTCTTCAGCGGCTGGAAAAATAAAAGAAATAAAAGCTCATTAGTAAGTTATAATCTTATATCAAAAATTGGTTATAAGGCAATGTTTGGTTTACTTTCCCCTTTCCTTGAAATACAAAATTGAAGCCTCTATAGTCAGCACGTATAGCAGTATCTAACACTTACAGTTAGTTCAAGCATTAAAATAAACATACTCATCACAATTAAAAATATGGGCACGATCTAATGCATAACAATTTAAGCTTGACCTTTACGTAGTAAAACGGAGAAAAGTATTTGTTCAGTATCGGCAAAATTCTAATCTGTTGAGTGAACATGAGATAAATTAGACCGACGTCCCTAACCGTTCTCGTACTTGAAATTCTACTTCTTTGTACAACATCGTAGGTTAAACCTTACGTTTAAGGCTACTTACGTTTCATTGGTATGTAATAAACCACATTAGAGGGGAATATTCCTGCCATTCCAGAATAAATTTTAAAAGGATACAAATAACAATCTATCAAATTAGTTTTAACAGAAATTCCCACTGAATTACAATTAGTAGAGTTAATACAAGTTTCTACACATCTATGTCCATCTGTAACCTGTACCGTATAATCATTACCCAGGATTTTCGTATTGTTAAAATGATACCTCTTCCAGTATCTTTCACAATTGCAAAAAATATTTACGAACAACAAACTGTGTACTACAAGGTAATTAAACATTTCATCTATAAATTTTCTCCAACCGATGAAGAACTTGGCTTAGAAATAATCTGATATGTAGGAAGTAATGGCGCGGGTTTCCATTTAATATACGCCGTTGTTTTAAAAATTAATCGATTTTCATTTGGAACAATCGCGAACAAATTTCACTAAAAATAATAGTTTTTATGGAAACGTATGGAATATCGATCAATATAGTTCAGGGCATCGGCCAGAAAAAAATGTACAAATTGACATCAAATCATATGAAGAAATCATTCATCTACCATATCGGTATAGGTTAATGGTCGAGAGACGTTTAGTAAGTTCACGAATGTCCGTAGCTAGGACCGTTTCCTACTGAAAAATCAGACTGCCCCTTTAAAATTACTTTTTTTTATTGATATTACGGACCCAGTAATTGTAAGAATGACGCTCTTTACCTGCAACCCAGAAAGTTCCACAAAGGAAATGATTGGTACACATCTAACCCAATTGGCATCCACACTCTACAGAATAAAGTGAAAGATATGTGTTCCAGGGCAGGATTTTCTGGCAATTTTTCAAACCATTCACTCAGAGCTACTGCAGCAACGCGATTCTATAATGCCGGGATTGACGACCAACTGATAAGGGAAAAAACCGGCCATCGTTCAAACGCCGTGAGAGTATATAAACGGACATCTGAGGATCAATTAAACGAAGGAAATGCTCAGATGATGGTGCTGCTGATGTTGGTAAGGAATCAAGTGATGGTGCTTCCGGGACATTAAAAGAACTTAATTTTGAACACGGAAATCTTAAAATCCAAATGAAATTTTGATATTTTCCATAATAGATGTTGTAAATCATATGTGTATTTGTTATTAAATGTGTTCATTTCACTCGCTAGTTACATCATTTTCTTGTCCCGCTTCAATGAACAGTCCAATAATTCCGCCATTTTGTATCACTTATTGATACTCTGGGCACTTTGCCAGTACCAATAATTTGGATATTAGAACTCGAAGAACAAAGGATTACGTCACAACTGTATTTTAATTTCGGTTACAAGGTCAGGTAGTCGTTTTCAACCTGGGGATTATTACCACGTATAACTGATTAATTTTGGACTATTTGAAAATAATGTGTCGATTTCTAGAATAAAATAAAACAATTACAATAAAAGTTTTCTATTCAGTAGGCTATATTCTCAAATAAAAAAGATTGCAGGGAAAACCTAAGAGAAAATCACAAGATGCAATATAAATAAGATAATGGAATCGATCGTAATATTTTAAGGGATAAATGAAAATACAGTGTAAAGCATATTTTGATTAAGCTTGGTATGTGTAACATAGTCATGGAATGAAGATGCAGTTCGTATTTGGGCGCTTTCGAATGGAATGTAGTCTTTGCCCTTCTATCGAAATATGGGCAGTTTGTGATAAAACACTATTTGGACAATCAGAATAAAACATTAAAGGCGATCGAATTATCCATCCTTTAGGATTATTTCACAGATAAAGTTACCTTTAACATTACAGGTTTTATCATCTAAACCACAAGTGCTAGCATTATGTATTCTGTAACTCATACAATGTTGATTCTGGTTATGATTATCGGGACGTTGAGGTAAAAAGAAGGTGTAATTAACAGGATCCCCATTGAACCAGTTCCAAATCCCCTCGTTATTTATATCTGTGGCTCCAAGATGGGCAAACACATGTGCTACAACACCTTAAATAAAAGAAATAATTTCTTTGATAAATTACAGATGGTTAGAAAGTTTTACCTCTTTAGAAAGATAAATTTGCTATGTTTTCGACCTGTACACTTTGCACCAACTATGTTTTTCCGACATTTATTTTTACACGTGAAACGCTCAATAGCACTTAATTACAATTGGAAACGGCAATGCAAAAGCCTGATAGCTTTTAAGTTAAAGATTGTTTTCTTACTCACCGAAATGATTGACAAGATTTTGGCGTATTAGATTTAATTTGAATTGAGAGTTAGCTAAATATAATGAACCGCCATCTTCTTCACAAATAGATTCACTTTCTAGCCAAGACTTAGTTATAGAAAAGTAGAATTTATAACAGAAACTTTCATTGTAAACACACTGGTAGTCTGGTGGAATTTCTTCAGTGGCTGAAAAAAATTATAAAAAAGGCCATTTTTATACGCCCACATAAAGTGTGGAGCGTATATTGTCTTCACCCATGTCCGTCGGTCCGTCCGCCCGTCCACAATTTGCTTGTAAACACTCTAGAAGGCACAATTCTTGACGGATTTTGACGAAACTTACTGAAATTGTTTATTATCACCCAAAGGATGAACCCTATTGAAAATCAGAAAAATCGGATAATATTTAATACGAGTTATTGCCTTTGGTCTTCAAAACGCGTTCAATTTTTAGCTTGTAAACACTCTACATGCCACAATTCTTGTTGGATTTTGACCAAACTTTGTGAAGTTGTTTATTATCACCCAAGGATAAACCCTATTGAAAATCAAAAATATCGAAAAATATTTAATATGAGTTATTGCCCTTGTTCTTCAAACCACGTTAAATTTTTAGCTTGTATACACTCTACATGCCACAATTCTCGCTAGATTTTGAAGAAACTTTGTGAAGTTGTGTATTATCACCAAAGGATAAACCCTATTGAAAATAAAAAAGACCAAAAAATATTTAATATGAGCTAATATAGACTACTATATTGGTCTTTATCTTTAACGGACATGAAGTCTCGGATTAAACGGACTGAAAGGGAACAGTTTACAGTCATATGACTCAAAACACATTTTTTAGCTTGCGATCTGCTATTGTCCGAAACTATAATCGTTAAAGCTGTAGCCTACTTATTGTATTTACAGTTATATGCAATCGATGTATATCCATTTTCAAAAATTGGAAAACTTTTCCTGATATTGATCCATTGATACTTTGAGTACTACTTGAAAAAGAAAAAAAAATAGCTTTTAAAATAATGGATAGTGTTATTGAACAGTTTTAAAGCAATAATGAGCTTAGTGATTATAAAAGTGGATAATATAACAAAGGATGACGTCATGGCTGTTTTTCAATGGTTGAATATTGAGTGGTTTTTGTTTTGGAAACATTCGAACACCTCGTAATGTTTTCTGTGGACAATTTTGTAATGTATATAAACAAATTGCAACGATTTTCATGGACGATTTGTTAATATTCGGATATAGTGCTACGCAGACTTTATATGTCTTTTTCGGACACTATTTTCACCAATTACACTATTTGCACCAATTTTCGCTGACATATCGGACATATTGAAACGATTTCTCATCGGGACAGAGCAGAGCAATATCCGGTTAACTGTTTGGAATAGTGCCTCAAGTGTTCCGAAAGAGTGAGAGTGTTCTGCAACAACAGCTTTCTCCGCCGCATTTAAAGCCGTTATAATTTTCTTCAAAAGCTAATAGATTGGTCTCGAAAACGGCGAATAACTAATTAAAATGGAGACTTTTTGTTTTAAATGATTTTTCTGCAGGTTAATACAGATTCTTGATTCTGTCCTTTAGCGTCAAAAACTGTAATATTTTATGTAAACAATCAAACACAAAACGATATCAATTATATGGCTCAGATTATATATAGCAATTTGGTCAGATCCGGAATGACAAAGGGAGTCAGCCACAGTAACGAAACGTATCATCCAGAATTCGAAATAAATGACATTCTGCATGATACGTAAGGTATGTAATGTCTGAAAAAGCGGCCTAACTTGCGACAGTAATAGGTAACGTGGAGATCTAGGATTACTTACGTTTCATTGGTATATAATATATCATGATATCATATACTATACCATTTGACGCTGTGTCCATACCAGAATAAACTTTAACAGGATACAAATAACACTCGATTACACCATTAATAACAGAAATTCCCACTGAATTACAATTAGTAGAGTTAATACAAGTTTCTACACATTCCTGTCCATCCGTAACCTGTACCGTATAATCATTACCCAGGATTTTCGTATCGTTAAAATGATACCTCTTCCAGTATCTTTCACAATTGCACAAAATATTTACGAACAACAAACTGTGTACTACAGCGTAAATAAATATTTTGGATGTCATCTTTTTTTTTCAATACTTAATTTTTCCCTGTGAATATATTTTGCGTATTTAATAGCATAGACGGATGTGACATTCGTGAAGATAAGGACAGCTACTTCTAAAATCTTAAATAAGTAAAACCCTGAAGCTAGAGACGTCTATATTCTTTCAATTGTTTATTTTGTGTCTTAATTGATTTTGAATTAATCAAGTTTCTACATTCTTGATCAGTTCAATATCAGATAGATCAAACATATTTCCAGAATAATAAATCTAGGAGCACGTGATCAAGATAAATCCATCACCAAAATGTGAAAATTCAATCAAAAGATAAATTAGTCTTATCAATTTGGTCATAGATCACAGTAAATTAGTCGTATTAATCTGATCACAATATAAAATAGGCCTTAACAACAGTGATCAGCTACCAAAGAATTCCTTTAACAAAGCCCAGAAATTAATCGCTACAGCCAACAAAACCTTCCCAAACTCCAAGATCCTCTTCACATGAATACCCATCTCAAATAAAATCTCGAAGAAAGCACAACAGAACCTCAGCACCCTTAACATGATGATGGAGTCCAGTATCAACAGCGCAACAATCTTACCACCCTACGAAGAAGAATTCGAACCAGTTGATAATCTTCATTGGTCTCTAGAAACAGCAAACAGTATTTATTTTTTTTGGATACACCAGCTTCAAGCATCGAGTATGTCTTTAAACTAATCACTGGGGACTTGAACTTGAATTATCTCCGACCATTCATTGAACGATTTCAACGAAATCTTAGCTACACATATTTTTTTCGAAACCATCCCCCACGTGGTGCTAGAACAATGTTTATTCCTAAATCCACGTGGACACCCCTCAGGCCGCCATCCATCCTGAAATATTGAAAGCATTTGCGAATATGAATAGCGAAACAGCGAACCTTTCCATAACACACGAAAAGCCTAATCTCACACGAGTGGAACGTGAAGCGTTAAACTTACTTAAGAAAGACGACAGCATTGTTATTAAAAAGCGTGACAAAGGTTCATGTTGTGTCATTCTGAATAGGAAGGATTACGTTTTAGAAGCAGAGAATCAACTGAATTCCATGGCAGAAACAAATAAACTGGATATTAAAGTGTATTTCAAAGAAACTCCTTTCACCCAAAACATACCTTTTCTGGTATCATTAAGTCACAAGTTTTACGATTTCATCGAATTTGCACAAGATCTTCTGATTTCAACCAAGCCTGTACGATTGTTTTCTCAAAACTGAAAGAGCGTGGGTACTCTAAAAATTCCACCTTAGCACAGATAGGAGCTAAAAACAGACTTTATGCCGAAGTACCTCCAGGTTTAAGAAGTGCTCCATGTTTGTCCAGTAGATGCAAAACATGTCCCTTTATATCAGAAACTCATTATTTTGTAAGCAAGTCTACGAAGAAAAGGTACCCGATCCAGGAACATCTAACATGTGAACATTCGAATTAATATATTTAATTTCATGCAAGAAATGTCCCAAACAATATGTAGGAGAAACTAAGAATAATTTACGAACTCGTTTTAATGCTCATAGGTCGGATATCAAATTAAAGAAAGACAAGCCTGTTTCTAATCATTTCAACCTTGACGACCATTCAATAGACGATCTCACCCTAATCCCAATTGAGCGCATAGAAATTGACTTGCCCGAAGATGAAACTACCAAATTCTGCAAGACCTATAGGACTAAATATTCGCCATAATTTAGGCATAGTTGTCCCGTTGTCCCGTTCAATACAACCAGCAATCGAGTAAGCAAGATAGTTCATGCCCACTATGAGAGCCTACAAGAGAAATTCCCCCATGTCTATGAGCAGAAAATGATTGTTGCATATTCAAAAAATAAGAACTTAAATGATAATATTGTTCATAGTAAACTAAAAACAATCGATACATAACAGATACTATACTTCTCGTCCATTGGGCGAGTTATTTTTTGTAATTTCATATCAGAATCAGAACAGAAGAAAACCCAATATCAAGACCCCTAATCCTAATTTCTAAATAAAGTGTCTGCTCCACCCTAGGCCTGTACATCTGGGAGAATCAAACCCTCCCTTCCCCGAAATCTAAACAAAATTATATTATTTAATCATAGATACTGTCAGAATATCGGATGGATATGAATCGGAATATGGAATTGCAGATTGTTCAAAATAAAACAGAACAAAAAACATCCTACTAAATTGCCATTATTCCTCTTCATTCAAAAATTTCAGTCCATTGTATGAAAATCTATAATTAATCATATTAACAATACTCATTAACGCGCAATTAGTTGGACTGGTTGTAGTTCTGCGAAAACGGTATATAGAGTTAAAAAAAAAACTACACACAAAACACTTGACAACAATTACATTGTTTAATTCTAATGACATTTATTTTGTGTATCCAATTAACCGCGTGCATTGACTTCGACTGTTTCATCCACGCTTACAAATATTGTGATAAAACATGTTCCTGAATGTATATTACGTTAAAACCTGTTCAGGTTATAAATTTCTCGATTGAAAGTATTTTGATGTCTCTCTCAGATCACCACATTGGAGGCGGTAGTATTGTGATGCATGCCTCGAAGTATCGAATCAAAATGCTAAGCCAGTCTTCAAAATTTAAGCCCCTTAAAGACATTTACATAGGTTTATAGCAATTGATGCGATTTTATTAAACTCGAAATGCAAAATTATTGTTGTTTTTTTTATTTTTAGATTTAGTCCTTCTGACAAAGTACTCTACTTCTTCATAAATCGACAACATGATCTATGAGGCAGAAAAAAATCGTTTAGGGTAGGCTTTCAGAATTCCAAGTAGTTCCAAAGTTTTTATGCTTAAAAAAACGATAACATTTATCATTTCAGGATCAGAGCAAAAGCCATCATTGATGTACATGTAGTAGAAATATTAAAACAACCTAAAAAAAACATAGCATAGTCTGACGTACCAACATGTATTTTAAGGTTCTGTTGTAATATTTCGACATTGTTCTACAACTGATTTATTGAGCACTATTTTAACAGTGAAAAATTTTTTTTTGTTAGCTAATTGGTTAATTATAGACGTAAATAAACCAAGTACTAACGATCCGAACCGCGAAATCCAAATGAGCATATTGGCAAAACATTGGTATCGGCTGATGAACTTTTCACATGAGGAAGTATATTAATCATAAGTTGAATAAGTATTTCATAATGGAAAGTGGTATCAGGTGTAAGAGTAGAAATGCTCTCACACCCTGTCTGCCGCCACCCCCCGTCATTTCTGATCAACATACACAAACGTGAAGGCAAAAACAAAAACCCTTAGAAGTATATTGAGTAAACACGGTTTACTATTGGGTATCTATACATTAATGAAATCATACAGACATCACCAGATATTCTACTATGTCCCAGTATTCCATATGGTACCACAATACAGTATGTCATGCAGAGGGGGCAGGGGGGTACTTGCCCTGCCAGCGACGGTAAATCAAGGGGTGCCCAATTCTTCAAGGGGCGACAAAAGCCCATTTTTAACACTTTTAAGCAAATATCCCCAATTGGCACAGCAGCACCCCTCTATTACTTTAGATATTCAAAACGTTGTTGAATCATATTTTTTGAATTAAAAACTTTAATTTTCACATGGGTGATGATTATTTTCACCCTGAAAATTAGGTGTAATGTTGAATTAAAAACTTTAATTTCCACCTAGGCTTCGTGAATTTTCCAGAAATAAATTTACAGAAAACTGCAGAAATTGCTGTTTTGCAACAGAAAATCGATAGCCAATGCTGGAAGCGTTTTGTGTGAATTATGTCTTTGATTTGATACGCTGTGCAGTAGAACTTTTGAGGAGTTTAGCAGGAGCGATTCCAAAGACAAAGCAAAAGTTTGTCATTTGGCCAACATCTTGATGCAGATGAAGTTGAAACACACAGATATGCCAACATAGTTACCAGGAAGTAGAACTGAACAAAGATGCACTAATTTTCTGATGCTCTACAGCTTCCTTGTCACCCTCAATACAAATTATTGTATGCCTTCCAGGTCTTGAGCAGGGTCTCGAAACCCGAGTTATTGATTATTGCTTTTCATTGCCGATGTGTCGCATTAATTGATCTTTCTGTAGTTTGAGAGTGAGTTGATTCTGACCAGTGTTGATTGTTAAGGCGGGGTGTTCCCACTTTCCCGGAAAATTATCCGGATTAAATATTTCTAATCCGGATTAGTTGGGTTATACGGATTAGTCGGATAACGGCAGATAAAATTCTACTAATGAGCTGATATTTTCATTTTATTAATTTTACAAGCCACCAAGATGGGAGACAGCATCTCCATATTCCATCATTTTCTATCTGTTATTCTGAAGACAAACTTTCAGGCGGTCCAGTTCATGGGCGATACCGTCTATTCTTGGGGAGTTTCTTACCACCAGGCTGGAGCTGACTGATGGTCACTTCGGTCATTGCTTGCTTAGCTTTTATCAGGGTGGTGAATCTGAAGATGCTAGGATGGTTGGTGGTCATCTTGTTCATTCTGGCATGCCACCCCTCAACATGATTCGTGGTTCGCGGACCTACAGTGTGAAAATGGTTCCGCATATGTATATCTTCTCCTTCCACCCACTGTTCGGTCACATAGTCAGCAAACTTTGCAATTGAGGGATCTTCCATGTTAGCAGCTTCAAGGGCTTCAACCAGTAATCTTCGATATGTTCAGGTCTAAGTAGAGGTAGAGCAGATGCTCTCCTCACGAATAAGTTCACACCTGGGTTGTTTGCAAAGGCACTTGGACATTGCGCCAAACTGCCCGTCGATAGTGAAAAAGACATCCTTTCAGTTCACAATCAAAAACATGTTCTATGGCATTCTGAACAGCTTTCTCAAAGTCAGTGAAAATGGTTCTTGGTCTAAGGTACAGGTTGCGGATTTCAGCCTTCTGTTGGAGGATGGTGAAGAGGCGCTGATACGTTGATTGTTTCTTGTTGGGAAGCAGGGCATACACTAGAGGAAAAATTTTTCCTTGAACAAGAGCTTGAACAGAATAAAGTTAGTGGAACACTTCTGGAACTTCACAAAAAGTGCCGTCTCAAAACAAAACCTCAGAGCCAGGCAGATGTCGCAAGTTTTCGGTTGTTGAGAAAATAAGCATATCGTCATCTTGGTGTATCAGGAAATCTTAGCCGTTTTTTGGTTTATAAGTATATTCAACATTTTGACACGTGAACTTCTATCACTAATATTCACTTTAAGTTAGGTGAACATCAGCTCATTAGTAGAATTTTATCTGCCCTAATCCGACTAATCCGTTTAACCCAACTAATCCAAATAAGAAAAATTTAATCCGGTTAATCTGCCGGGAAAGTGGGAACAAACCGTTAAATCAATCTCCGGAATGATTTGTTTGTTGCAATCCACTGTGCGAGGCGTGGCTTCGTCCAAAAGTAGTTGAGAAATGCCAGAGACTCGCTAACTGTGTACAAAAACTGTTATTGACATTCCCCACATCCTTTCCTATAGAAGGCGAGTTTAGCGTGGGGAGTGAGATTTTGTCCAAAAATTATTTACTTGATTATTGAAAGGGGTCAGTGGCAGTAGTTCAGAGGTAGGGTGAACAGGGTGAAAAGAGTTGAGAAGCACGGCTGAAGCGCTTAAGTATAGACACCTTTTCGGTCTTTTTATTTTTATCTAAATATTGGACGCGTATTAAAGGGATACTACGTCTTAGGATGAACATCAAATTTTAATTTTGCTCAAATTTGGCCAATAACAGTATATATCCATCAGTGGACTCACCTGGTGTCTTAACTATACATCAAAATCCCTCTATAATCCGATATATCCACAAAATCAAGTAATTAATTATAAAACGCTTAACACATCCATTAAGCGATTTTCAAATCGTGAGTCTAGGAAATCCGGTGTAATTTTCAAGGGAAGTAACTCTCAAGTGGGGTTTCCCGCGTCCTTGACCTCTACTCTTGAATTGACCTCGACATTGTCATATTTTGAAGACGGAATAATGATGCCTCGTAAGAGATTTAGCGACTCCACGAAAAAGCAATTCATATAATTTAAAATGAATACCCCACCACAATTTTCAACGAATAATCATTGGCAAAGTTTGTTTGTATACACCTGAAGATGATTGTTTCCTGTTTTAGCGTTGATTACCCAGACTCTTTTTTTCTCAAACTGAACGGATTCATGGCTTGCTCACTTTTTTTAAAAATTATGATTATAGTTTTATTGTCGATTTTTCAAACTTGTGTGGGATGCATACTTATTTAACCAATAGTCACAATTAAACACAAATATTAGCCACAGGGCGAGTGTATTCTAAGACGTAGTATCACTTTAAGCAGTAAAATAATCACGTTATAATATACTTTTGGATTTTATTGATTTCGTTCTTCGATTGTTATAAACAATTAAACTAAGTTTCATCAGTACATGATTACTTGTTTATAAGCAGTAGTGTTAAATGGTGACAGGAAAGGTAACATCAACGCATTTGAATAGATTTATCATAATCTACATTATAGAGATTGTATAGCTTGTTTTTCATCAATATACTTTATAGATGGCACTACAAAAGAAAAGTAATTGTATTACAGAAATATCTATTTGGTTTTGTGGTTGTTATGATATATATTCAGAATTTTAGTATTTGCCACTTTTACAAGATACCCTACTATAATACCTCCATTCCACTTGGCGGCGATCTGTGGTGCTCTGTGAGAGTGCCACGATCGCAAGAAGCGCTACTTTATCTCTAGTGGATCTCTATCAGATCATAAGTAAGTCAACTCATCTGCATAAAGATTCGCGGATCCACCCAGAACACCATAAAATTGCTTCTTAATCGCCTAAATCGCCATCGGAGCGCTACTTGATAGCCAAGAACGTAACTGAAGCGCTATCGGATTGGCTAAGAGCGCCACCGTTCCCCAAGAAAGCAGATTTTTCGATCTGACTGCAATTCTTGGAGATGCAGTACTCCTCTGCTGTCAAGCATAATACTAATGAGCGTGGCTCAACGACACAGGTTTTTATAGGATCTTGCCTTTATCAGACCTAGAGCGCTATTTGAGCGATAATGGATCTCTATAGGTCGCCTAAATTGCTACCAGATCTAGTCTGAGCGCAGTGATCGCCCCCGGAGCGCCCATAGAGCGCGTTGATCACATGCTACTCGCCTTAGATCGCCAATAGAGCGTAAGCTGGTCATGCAAAGTCGTTCTTACTGCGCTGTTACTATGACGAAAAATAAGCGTGTAGAAATCGTGGACAAGATCCATGTTCAAAACAAACGCAAAGATTCGGCGATCTGTTTTGGAACATGTTGAGATCGCAATTGGATCGTCATACCAGCGTTGACAATGTTTTCCTCATGTTTGACCCGCGACCTAGTAATATTATCACTTACAGAGAATCATGTGAATATCAATTGATTTTCTCTGTATTGTCTGTGAATTTCATTCTTTTATAACATCTTGCTGATTATTGAATTTTTTTACAAAAAATGATTTATATTATTTTAATATTGACGTTGTCGCTCGCGCTTGTATATCCGTCGATCAACAGCTTTGATATTTACGATTTATTTTTATATATATTCCGCAGTTACTCAGTGAGGGTCCATGATACATTGAGAAATTGGCAGAGATGGTCTGGATAATTTCCCTTCGTTAATTTTATTGAGTTCCTGAGTTTTCTCGTCCAATGAATTTGGCTCTTGTGTAGGCGTTTGTTCTGAAGATTTGGAGTGCATTCGTAACGACTCATTTTAAATTTTAAAAAGAGAGTAGATAGTATCAATGGCTGATATTTTGGCTCTATATGTCGGACATGACCGACGGGGAAGCTCAAATGACCAACAGTCAATATCCATTATCGGACATCAAGTATAGGTTAACCATTACATTGCAGTCAATGTAGAAAACGATTTTATATTAAGAATACTGTAATATTTCACCCAATAATCTCCCTTGAAGTACGTTAGACCTATATTTTCTTGTTCTTTTATATTTTTCTCATTTATTACCTCCCTTGAAGTTGAAACAATCAGCTGTCAATCAAGTGTTGTTGTAAAATGCAACTCAATATAATACTAGACCTGTGATCAGCTACCGAACGTGGCAACGAGACATAATCCCATGGATTTCAAACCTTAAGAAACTTCTAGCCCGTTAGCTTTCAACTTCGGTGCTTTTAAGTCTACAATTTTTGAAAAAGAAACTAAAACTTCGGGTATCTGATAAATGAATCAGGTATATAGTTACACTCCAGAAATGTCACCTCAATATTCTCAAATTCTAAAAAATAAGGAAGTAATTTATACTGCATGACAATAATTCAATTGAGAAAAGCAACAACGGAGATAATCAGATCTGTCATCTGTGATACGAATTTGATCATATGATTTTGGTCGACGACTAAACATCGTCTGCTAATTTAGGTTTATAAGAGATACTCTCCGGTAGAAACACTTGCATATTTCACAAGTATTAGAAATTATTTTGTAATTTGATTTCTAATCTAACAGGAAAAAAAACAGTTTAAACTGTTTGGTATTTTGAAAACTTATAGCTTTAAATGAGGGTAATTTTTTGAATTTGTATTCAAATATTTCAAAATTTATTGATTTGAATTTTTAGAGCAAACCATTAATGTCACATACATGGTGAACTACATTGATGGGGGATAATAACATTTGATGTTAGAACTGGAGTTGAAAAATTTCAATTTTTTTCAAAATCTTTTTTAGCATTATTGCCATATATCATTAAAGAGAGAATTTTATTTCCATTAATAATGCCCTGTGTTAATTAGAGAATGTGGTATAGTCGTCCAAAGTTGCAAAAATGTCAGATTCGTTGGGCTATAAATCCAATGTAATGATATCCATAAATAGCTGAGGTTACGGACAAACTACACTGAAAAATTCAAGGTCATTGAGGGTCAAGATTACCAGATATAGACTTTGCAACTTTCAAAAAATTCGAACGGGATAAGAAAAATATTCGATTCAATATTCTCCTACGAACAAGTTTAAAAGAAAATCAATTTTTTGCACATCATGTAATATGTCACTTCCGGTTCAGCAAAATGAGCAAAATGTTCAATTAGGATATTCATTTTTGATTCCAGTCCTTTCATAAATCTTTGGTCAAAACAGAAGTTCCCTATTATTTCCAGTTTGTTCCAGAAAGTTTTCCGTTAAGGCTGTGTCAATCTGTAAAAATATGACAGAAATATTATGGAAAATTTATAGTCATTACATTTCACAGTCAATTATGGCAATCATCGGGAATACCGAAAAGGGTGGGCCAAACATGAATTCCTTCAAATTGGGTTGATTTAAAAGTGTTAAAAACACATTAACCTTGTTTGTAAAGGAAGAGTACCGGTACCGGTACAAGACAAAAGATAACATGTAAGATCATCTTCCGTTCTTTTGTTCAAACGAGAGATATTGTTGTTGGGCTGTTTTACATCCAATTGAAATTCCGAGGTCCTTTAAATTTAAATTTCCATAAACAACTGATGCTAATGGAACATAATAGCATGTTGAGTCATACGTGTTCGTCGGCCTTTCACAAATATACCTAACTTGCTTTGAATTCAGCTTCTTCATTGAATACTAGGCATTCATGCTACGAGATTTATTT